GTATTAAGAATAATTAACAATAGGTACAAACATAATGTAAAATATCCACACTGAAAAACCGTCTCCGCTCATCAGAATCGTTTTTAGTATACAAATATATATATGAATTCAAATGTAGGTAATACCATCCATTATACAGTGACCCACTGTCGTAACCTATATTGTACAGCAGAGAGACATCCACTTGCCCTCCTTTTATTATATTTTAGTTTTAATGCGAGTTATGAGTATTTTAAAATATACAAACAATTTACAATTTTAAAATACAAATTGTCAACATTTGAACTTTAAATTTTAATAAAAAAAAATTTTCACATGTATTTTTAATATTTTTCAACTACCTACTAGTGTAACAATATATCAGGACCCCGGGCTTGTATTACATGTTAACGCTTTTTGACCCAACAAACAATATTTTATTGACATTTATAGAAAAAAAAAAAAAAAAACTAAAAACATTGGAGACTTGAAATATCCGAATAATCAATAAACAGCTCAAAATATTTGATACTAATTCAAACATTCAGTGGAAATGCCATGTACCTATTTACTGTCATTAGTTTTAGAGTTATCTACACCAAAACCCGTTTTGTACTATGTGTAAAAATTTTTCTTTTGGACATTTTGATCCCTAACTCTTAAGTGGATCGTGGTTGTCAGTACCTACTCTGTGTTTATTATGTATTCCTATTCCGCGAGCGAGGCGACGGCTGCCGTCTATATAGGTAATATTATGATTTACGTTACTTGTTAGCAGGGAAGAGGGAACCACTATATAATCCCTTTTGGTCTAAAATGATAATATTATAAGTAAAATATAATAGTGGAAAGTTTCAAGTATATAATTAATCATTTTTGAATCACTACAACAAATTAATTAATCTCGTTTGAAACGATATTCCTTTAATAAAAGTTGTTATTTATTTTTCAAACGCTCGTAAAAATGTTACCTAATATGTGGTTTAGATACTTTTAACCTTTAACAACCAATTAAAATTGAAATTTTATCAATTTTAAGTACAAAATAATTTTCCAATTTTCGTGTTTTTGTATAGGTACCTATTACTACGAAATGGATTGCTTTAAAATCTAAATAAAAAGAAAAATGTTTAAAAAAGAGGGTAAGTGCATGTCGCTCTGCTGTACTGTAGGTTACAAGTGGATCACTGTAATAGATGGTGTTAAATTTGAATTAATTTTGATACATTTTGTCAAAATTCGAACTTTAAATGCTTATAAAAAATGTATGGTGTCGTACACTCGTACAGTCGTACATCGCTAGTCGGCGTCAGATAAATTGACAAGGCGCGGAGGCGCTTTTCAGTGTAGCCCAAACTAGTCGCGGTGTGTTTTGACTGACGACAGCGCGGCATGCCTCACCAAGTTGCTTATCATAAATATACAAAAATAAATGACCTCAGCTGACAATGACAATATTAATAGATTAAAACACCGTAGATTAAAATATGTGATATGGAAATTATGGAATATACGTCCTGTGGGCTAGCTATTATATTATTATGATCTAAACCTATGGGAATATACTAATATATCGTCTATCTGATGGTTATTTTAATAATTTAAGCCATTTGTTATTCGCACGATGTAGAAAGATATCTTCTCAACATCGTTGTTATTCCTAATAACATCCATATACGGAGAACCCCTGGTTTCTATTTCTACTACTACACTACTACTACCATACCAATTGTTCTATGACCATACTACACTTGCAACATCTGTGCTACAACTGGACCGAGTTATCACCCGTAATAGATAATCATAAATAATGATAATAGTATGATAAACAGATAAAGTTGTTTTCACTCGTCAGTCATCACTCATTCACAATATTCACTTCACTTTGTACTTCTGTAGTTCGGTTCTTCAGTTAATGAAATGTTGCCGTGCGTTTCGTATCGTCGCTACTCGCTACTGGCTTCGCACCAGATAAGACGTAAATACTAAATTTAAAATAATAATATTATTGTACTGGAAGTGTGACCGTAGTCGTAAATTGCTTGTATAATAATTTGTTTGCCGACGACAAGACGTGCTCGTACGAACGAACCGTTGGTCGGTGCGCTGTGTCGTCCTACACGGTTCGCCGTTACCGAGTCGTATCGATTGTTTTCCGCCCCCGCATGATACTCATGGATACGACGATATAATTATTGTGATATTATTATAGTAACAACTAACAACCATCCCGTCTTGTTGCTAAGTTATAGTACGCTGTTTTCGAACGTAACATTCTCTCCGACGTCGGTGATTCTGCCGAGTGTAACAAAAACTGATGTAATTATATTGTACATGATACAACAGCCTACCTACTGCTACCTGCCTGCTCAGGTGTGTGTGCTGCCTACATACTATTCTAGACGAGTGGTTGGGTATTTCGTTGTTGCCATCCTTCGCGAGATCCACTTTCCAAAAATGGACCAAGCACATTATGACGAAGGTACCTAATTCAAATTTTTATTTTATTATTATGACAACCAACTGATGTTTACTGGACATTTTTATTTTTACCCTTTGTAAAGTGATAATAATATAACGTGCGGTCTAGTGCTACATAACCTTTGTACAGTGTTAGGTACTCACACATTTTTTTTTATTGTTATTATTATGATTTTTTCTAGACAGTTATTGATTAATCATACTGAGATGAAAAAGGTCCAAGGTCGATTTCGGGCAATATCTAGATCTACACTATCTACTGCTCATCTATTCTGTTTGTATTCGACACGTAGGTTGTTATTGTATTGTGTTTGCTTGAAGTCCCTATGGTCTACCTAGTACCTACAGGCTATAGATACCAATATATTAGTATCTATTATATTTTATTTTCCCGTCCGTTTTGATTTGTTTTATTTAATCATTGTTTTGCTTTTTAACTTTTATCTATACATATATAATTTTGTAGTTTGAGTTCCTAACGAAATATTGACACACAATCTGATACCTAAGTAGCTAAATAAAGAAGCTAGAAACTATTTTATTTGCATGATACCAATCTAGGTATTACATGATTTGTTAATATGTTACTACCTATGTACCTAATCATTTAATAATATTATACATGTATCAAGTATAGACATAATTAAAAATTGTATTAACTTATTATAATAACTAATAAGTAATACCCAAATAACCAAAATAAATAAAAAAATAATTAATTAATTGGTACCTATCACTTTAAAATACTATAAATATTAATATGAAAAATAAAATAGGTTTTGCTCTTTATGATTCCCTGTATTGTATTTTTAAACATTAGAATAAAAATATAATTCTTCTACTAATTACCTATACAATACAAATCATTGATTAAAATTATTTAAGTACTAATATCTATTTTACTACCTAGGTATTTAATAGTTAAATTCCTCTGAAATCTTAAATCTTTTATCACCTTTTACCTATTTTCCACTAAACTGTATAACTCTATAGAGTTCAGTGCTATTTTCTGTTAATAATTGTATTCTATAACAAAAAGGATTTATTTTCAGGTATATATTTTAAGAAAAAATCTGTAAGTTTTATTTAGAAATGTCTTTAGTTGAAAATATTTTTTTACGACAGGCACATCTTGAGAATCACAGAGTTTTTAACTTTGCGGGACTAGGAATAAGCTTTTATTATTCGTGGTATTTATGTTTATCTAAATAGTTATGTCTCCAATTTTTTTTTAATCATTAAATAAGTTTGACATTTTTTAAGCAGTCTTCCATCTACCTATCTTATTATGAACATTGTATACTTTTAGCCAGGATTTGTTTAGGGGTGTGTATTAGTTTTATATTTGAATATAACACTGGGGCTTTAAACACTCCTTTGTAGTCACTTGTCATCAATCTTCATAAATAAATATCTTATATGAAATAGAACCATATGACATTATAATATTATCTTGTAGAAATTTGAATCATATGGTACATACATCGAACCAATAAGAAGTGGTGCTCCAACTGTTTAGTCCAATCCTTAGAAACAGTTTTACAAATCTTATTTTTACTTACAACTTATCTCAGGCTCGTAAATAGGTGCTTATTTTAGGAGGGGGGCAATTAACCTCTTTCAGAATAGTTGAGGCTTAAAAAATGTGCTAATTAATAAGTTATTAGTTACTACAATATGGTCTGGGGAGGCGAGATTAATTGCTCCCACTGCCCTCTTCATTACGTGCTTGACTTATCTAAGTATTGTTTGTATTTCCTGGTATACATTTAATCTTCGAGTATTTAACCATTTTTCCCTTTTTATTTAATTTTATAGTTGTACTTTTATTCCTGAAATATTCAAATATAACATTGATCACCAGAAATCATACTGTTTTTTGCATCAGTAATTATATATATAATATGTATTATTATATTATATGTAATTATTGTATTAATCACTAAATTAGATTATTATTTGTTCAATATCTGTATAAATTGTAAACCTAATATGGGTAAATATATATTTAAATGTTTTTATTCATATTTATTATTTTTGTTATTATAATTTTAGGATTTCCAAAAGAAAATGAAATTATTGAATTGTTACCATGCATAATATGCAATCGTTCATTCCGTCCAAGTTTATTACAACGCCACTCAACTATATGCCAAAAAAACGCTAAAAAACGTAAGGTACCATTTGATTCATCTAAACAGCGTAGAGAAGGTACTGATATGGCAGCATATTTACCACATATGAAAAAGGCTCAAGATGCCTATATTGGCATAGAAAATTCCAAAAAAAACTGGAAAGCTAAGCATGAAGAGCTTGTTAGAGCTGTGAAAGCAGCACGAGGTGAAAAAGTTGATGAAAAACTACCAACTAAACCTGTTGACTCTGAAGAATGTCCACATTGTGCACGGAATTTTGGACCTAAATCGTATGATCGACATGTAGAGTTTTGCAGAGAAAAAGCTCAGAGAATATCTACTGCACCAGTGATAAGTCAAGTAGCTAAAGAACGGCTTGAAGCAAGAATAAAAGTTAGTATATTTAATTAAAAATGTAACGGGTACCTATTTTTAGTTCTTAATTATATTGAATTAAAAAAAAAAAAAATGTTTTTTAGACGTTGATTTGTTTATTATTTAAGATTTTTATTTTATTTCTATTTTTAGTACCGTGCTCCTCCACTTAAGTCACAGCGTACAGTTACTAAAGAAAAGTATTCTCCAAAAATTAAAAGTTTTACTCAAGATGTTTCAAGTGTACCAATAAAAGTGATACAACCATTAAAAACCATTAAAAAAAGAACCTCGCCAAATAGAAATATTGTATGTAAGTATATTCAGTTTTTTACCTACAATCTAATTATATATTTTTAAGTCATCCATCAAAAACAGTCATACATAATGTACCATTTTTGAGTTTTTTTCATCTATACTCGATGGCGAGTATGTATTTTGTATTTTAGAACTGACTTTATTCATGCATATTACCAACCCCATTAAAACAATATTTTATTCATAAATATACATTAAAAGATATGGTTTGCTTAAGTTAATTAAATAAAAGTATTCTAGTATAGGTACTTTTAATATTAATATTATTTAATGTAAATGAAACAGAATAAGAAATGTCTTACAGTTTGGATGTTATTCAAGAACTATAAATTATAATATTAGTTTAGACTAGGTATTTAAATAATTTGTTTCCTTAAGTGAGTGTAGGAGAACCCATTGTATAATTTATTTTTAGATATCTGTATTTATAATCTCTCCCTTTATCTGGCTGTAAGTTAACTTTTCTAAAACACATATGTTATTATAAAGGAAGACACATGACATTGTTAATTATAGAACTCAATTATATCCACAGAAAAAAAAACATTTAATTTCATTATAATACAGTTTGTATTTTAAATTTATATTATAAAAACTATGATATAATACTATAGGCCATAGGACATTAACATAAATATTATTTGAAGATAGAAAGATAGTAAATGTAACTAAAAAAAAATAAGGTATAACAATAATATTAAATTAATTTTTATAGCTAATATCCCACGTCAACTGTCAACAGTAGTGAAAAAGAAAGACCAAATATCAAAAAGTCTCTATGGGTAAGCGCGCGGTTATTATGTAAAATATGTTTGTAATTTTTTAATTAATTGAGTGTTATTCTTTCAGAGTTAAAAATTCAATATACTTGCCTCAAAAGCCAGGTCTAAAAAATGAAACAGTTATAAAGAAATCTGAATCGGCCTATATCCTAAGTTCTCAAAATCACATAAAACAAGGAGTTAATAAGGTGGTCAATAATTTTGACAAAAAAAAAATTTCAAAGTCGTGAGTGGAAATTATTATGTATTTCAATGTTTGAATAAGCTGTGAATTGATTGGTAATTGAGAAACGTATACATTTGAATGTATAAATACATACTTAAAAAATGTTGCATTTAATTCGTTAAAAATAAAAAAAAATATTGTATTTAAATGATGCAATTTATAAGGTAATTTTTACAGAAATAATACAAGCAAATAACTAATACAACTATAATCGGAAGCATGGAATTTTATACAAAATAATATTGAAAATCAAAATGTCATATATTACATGTTTAACAGAAGATGAATTCTAACATTATTTAAAAACATTTGCTCATTTAATGTCAACATTATTGAATAGAGAATTCATTGAGAGTTTTAAAATATTGATAAAAAAATAAATAAATAAATAACAATAAAAAATAGGACTAAAATAATGTTATCTATAAATACTGAGAAATACTATTGTTTTCATACTTTTGAACAGAAATTGTTGTATAAAGTATCAATCTAGTACCATCTAAAGTAAAAATTAAATATACAATTCACAATAACAGCTAATCAAATGCAATGGGTGCCAAAGTTGAAAAAACAGTATGGTATAAGTATAATAAATGATAAACATGAAATAATATCAACTGTTGAGAGTTGTGTAAAATTCTTATCTTGACTATTCAATTTATAGAAAGTTATATACATTTAACATAGAAGAATAGAATTTATTTCTATACAAGAAATATTAAATGTACCTAGATGACAAGATAAAACTCTTTTGTTCAATTTATTCAGAAACTATTTGATAATCTGGTTCAAACATGCTTATTGTATTGTAAAAGATAATAATATTAAGAAACCTTATGTATGCCACTTAATACATTGATTATAATTTTATTAAATACAGTTTATTTATTATTAATAGGGTACCTACTTCATACTACAGCCTGATGTTATGAAATATCAAAATTAAAATGCTAATATTGTGTTAGAAAAATAACTCTTTGACATTGAGTACAATATTCTAAATAATTTTGATTTCAACCTTAAAATTGCTTAAAATATTTTAAAAAGATTTAAAATAATATAGGTTTGTAATGATTAAAAGTATTGAATTTTTCGTTTGTAGATTAAGTCTACATAAATATGTAGACTAAATCTACAAACGAAAAATTCTAATTTAATGTACTGAAATAAAAATAATTTTAATATAAAAACAAGTTTAATTTTTTAATGTTAATACCTATAAAAAAGTATTTATTTATCAATTATAAATAATAATTATTATTAAAGTAGGAACTAAAATTAATTGTATCTAGATTTTCTTTATTGAATTCATGACATTTGTCGGTCAATATGTTTATATGTTGGAAATAAATGTTCAATGTTAATTTCTTAGGTATTAAACAGTGTGATTACAATTTAAGGAAACACTAAATATTTCAGCTGGAGTATCATGAATTTGATTCAGGTTATTTTTGCTGATTAGAAGACTTAATATTACATTTTTGAATTTGGTTCCATTGAAAGCTTACCTTTTTTCTTTGAATTTAAATTACATTCATTATTTTTTGTTGAAGAACTAGCTAAAATAGTTTTTTCTATCTTAGAATACACAAGTTAACATATTACTATAATATTTATATTGTCTTCTTGCTAACTCGGTAAACAATTTTTAAAGAAAAAATTACTTCTATTAGAAGTTGAAAAAAATATGAAAACACATTAGTATATTAAAATTAGTGTCAATAAATAATTAATTAGAATAAATTAAGACCTGAAGTTTATTACTTGTATATTAATTTCCAAGGTTATTAATTTAGGGAGCTGTAGTAAGTTAACACGACAATACAGGTTTAAAAAGACTCTCGATAAAAATTGTTTTAAATTTTATAGCTTGTATTTTTATTCTTTTAATGATGTGGGATTATCCTATGTACTTAACAATCAGCTAATGTAGTGAATGTAGTTATGTATGAGTAATGGCCATAGAGATTATTGCTTATAAAAATTCTTAAAATATTATTTCTCAATCTTAAATCTCCATAATCAATACAGCTTATTGAAAACATTTGATGTTAATTGTTGTAAAATATCAATACATTGTGATTTTTATTATTTTAGCCAACCACATTTGGATATTTACAACCCTTGTTTGGATAGCTACGATCCATTTAAATCAGCTGAACAACAAATGAAAGAACTCGATCTAGACATTAACATAATTGACATTGGTCTTAAAAATCCATTAAATATTACCACATCTGATAATATAGAGAATCTTCAATTGTCTCCAACATCTGCATTCGTTAAATATTCACCAGTCTCTCCTTTAGTATCATCTCCAGATAATATTGAAAATGCATTTCCCAATGAATTTCACTCTGACACTAATCTCAACAGTCATCCTCTACACAATCTAAGCAATTTAAGTTTGTGTTCTATTGTTAGTATTGAATCAGCTGATTTTAATAATAAAACTCATAGTGCTATAGTACGAGGTACAGATCATCCAAAAAGTCCTACAAAACGAAACATCTCTCATAATCATAAAAAACATATAGCTATTGAAAATATGCTTTATGGTGATAATGAAAAAGATAAATCAAATCTCAATTTTGATTTGGCAGAACAAGAACTTTTAAAATCTGTGTCGGAATTTGAAAACTTGTTGAAAATAACAGATGATGATGATATAGTATCACCATCTTTAAATAGAACCTCTGCCCTTAGTATGATCAACGGAATTAATTCCAATAGCAGTGCTGATTCAGCTTACGGAAGGTAAGGCGAGCAATCAATGGTGTTTCAATTGTCATCGGGTACTTGCACGGTTTGAACGGGTTTCATTTGGAATCCAACACTTACTGATTTTTGCCAAAATCAGCCTAACACGGGTAGTTAACACATTAAAATTATTAACATATTTGATAATTATAGCACATAATAACACATTTGATTATGGTTTTGCTTATTTGGTCTGGATTGAACACCGAGTAAGAATACAATATTGATTAGTAATTTGTTTTCATTTAAAAAAAATGTTACTTAGCTAAACAAAAATAAACAAAATGAGTATGCCATTTTTTTACTAATCATAAGTATTTACATAGAATACCTAATTCATTTTTTTTTTCATTTTAATAAAGTGCATTGTATTTTTGGCATTTGTTACTAAAGCAAATAATGTGTTCACTAGATTGTGTTTGTTTTAAATAAATAATTAAAATATAAATTATAATAGTTCACTCAAACCTGACACCTAATACACATTTTATAAATTATAAAATCAAATAACTCATTAATCACTAAACACTATCTATAAAGTAATAGTTTATAAAATATCACATAGAAGGCTAGAAGTACTTTATCAATCAAATTATTAATAGCATTAATTAATTTATATTATTAATAATTTTTATCAATTTACTATAGAAAATAATCCAATTCATTTTATAATTTGATATAGTTATTTTTATGTTTATATTAGTGAAGATTTTTGCAAATTAATAATAATTGTACAGTTTTATATTATATAAGTTAATCTATAGGTATTATTATATTATATTATTAATTAATGATATATATATTATATTTTTTTTTTTTTTATCAGCTTGAACAGAAAAACTGAGCAGGCAACAACGGACAATTATCTTACACTGCTGAAAGCTGCTAAATTTTGTCATGAATGTGGATTCAAATATCCAATTGTTGATATTAAATTTTGTACTGAGTGCGGAATGCGACGTATTGTATCATGATCGAGTTTATTCAATTTCAATAATTATGTTTTATTGAGGGTATTAAGGAAATGTGTTAAATTTGTATTGTAGAGTATATTTTAATATTTTTATACTTATATAATATTTATAAATTATAATCAATAAGCTAACAACAATTTATAATAATTATTATTATATACAATTGCATTATTTTGTTTAACCCCTGAGACTGATTTTTTGGAATGAAATTAGTTTGAGTGTATTTTATCACTTAATTTATTTTATATTTTACTAATTCAACAAGACCAAAGTATTAACAATAATATAGTTTTTTACAACAATATTGCTAAAGTATTCAAAATATAAATTTTTATTAGCTTACACTCTTTATCTACATTACTTTAATTGGTATAGTCTCCTTAGTTATCTTTTATAATGTGTAAACAATAAATATACAATCATATTGACTTGCATATTTCATAAATAATACTATTTCTTAACCTACACTGTAATTTATCCTTTAAAATAGGTACTTTATACTATTACTAAATTAACACTATACATCTAGGTACGCGGCTAAATGGTCAGAAAAAAAATAGTGCCTATACAATAATAAATCACTTAATATACGTTTTTTGTGTTTCATTTTCACATTAAGTGTAATTATTGTATAATAATATTTATTCAACTTAGTGGCCAATACATTTAATTACTTTCCATATTAAAAGTATTGTAACTTAATGTAGATTATATTACACCAAACAACTACCTATAACTATTACTTCAAATAATGTTATTTCTTATGGTAAATTAAGATACCTATATTCTAATTAATTTAATCGACTGGATTGTTACCAAAGGATTTAATTTCATACTTTGATAATGTATTAAATATTTCATCTAAATGTATACAAAAACATTAATAATATGATAAAACAATTTTAATTAGGTACTTTTTCTAAAAAAATTTTTTATCAGTATTTGTTATTTTCAATTGTTTTTAATTATTTAATTATATATACCTACCTATATTATAAATCATATATGTTGTACTAGGTAGGGACACTTTCATTTCTTCACCCTCTTCAAACATTAACACAATTTATTGAATTTATTTTAATATTCATCAATCATCATATTTACAGATTTCCTTGTAATTTATGATTAGTTTTATGAAAGTTAACTCACTAGACACAAACTATATTCATTGTAATTTTGTCTTAGTATACCTAGTTTTTTTTTATACAATTTGTCAAGAAAGATAGCATATTAATAGGGACAGAAAATTATATAATATGACTTGCTATTACTTACAAGCGTGAGTCCAAATAGACTTGGAATCTTGTTACTAATAATTTATTATTTTTTAACTGTCAAAATTCGATATAGGTAGATATTATCTTTAAATGCCAACCTTAGATCATATACAATATATCATGTATGATCTAAGATGCCAACTATCTAAACATAGATTGATAAATCTTTTTAGAAATTGTATCCTTCTTTTGTCACATCCGTGTATATTCTCTAGCTGTAACTGCTAAAAAGTAAAGGTTTATTTTGTTCTTTTATAGATGTTATACCAAATTTAACAGTTTTTAATTATCTTTCCTTATAGGTACCTACTGGTTTTTTTTATTGTTTTTACTATTAAAGAAATGTATATTTTTTATAGATAATACAGGGTGAAGCACTAAAACGGTAGATTTTCAATGAAAATCTATATATTAAATTGGCCGCTTCAGTGTCCCACCTTGTATAAGAATACCTATATTATATTATATTATCTATGATATTTTGGCCATTTTTTTTGTTTTTTTGAATAAGCTATTAACAATATTTTAAAATGTGACAGTGTGGTGCTATAATAATGTACTATTAATAAGTCAATATTCATAGATTATGTATCAATTATCATAATTCATAATTATAATGAACACATTTCATGTTTGTGTATTTTGCCAAAGAAAGCTATAACTACTCATATTATTTATTGATTTCTTCTACAGCTGTTCAAATAATGGATTATTTTCGTATGTGTTACCAGTACATAAATTGATACTTTAATATTAATAATTGAGCGTAGGTATTCAAAGAAGAAACATTGGCACAATTCACATAGTTGATTACCAACATTGAATAATATTTTTTAGCTGATTTTTCATAATGAAAATATTGCATTCCTCTATTAAAATGACATACCTAATATTATTTTGAAACAACTAAATAATATTATTCAATTTTTGTTAACTCCTGGATTTCTGTAGCAATAAATGTTTAATTTAATTATATATATTATTTTTGTTGTTATACGAGTAATAATATTTTATTTTACTTTATTTACAGTGTTAATAGTTTATTAATAATTTAGTCACTCTGTTGTCATGGGTTTTTTTTTAATTTTGTACCTACTTAACCTGCGTTATTTGATATTTAAAATAATAAAATAAAATAAAATCATTTAAATTGTTTGTATTTTTATTTTATAGTACTTTAAAACTACATCCCGTTTACGAGTATGTGTGCACTAAAAAAATTTTGGTATATTTATAACTTTACCAGGGACCTTTTTTTTGCATTTTTTTATATTTTTATGTACCTACACTGAAATCGATGGTTGCCAATAAAGGGGGGGTCCGGTAAAGTAGAAAAGTTCGAATTTTGAGCAAAGAAAAGAATATTTGTTGTACAATGTGTTCTTTCATTTAAAAATATTCTTTAATAATTTCATAAACCTATTACTCCTCCTCTCCTGATTATTCGGTGTGGTTCACCAAGCATGAAACCCCCATTTTAGATTCTGAGTGAAACGATTTTACAATGATGTATGTTTTTTTATTTTATTTTTTATTTTTTAATTTTTTTTTGTGTCTGTCATCACGTTTTAGGACAGTAAAAGTGCTTGGATTTTCTTCATCAGTAGCTTTTCTGATAGGAAAGTGAATCTAGTTGGTACTTTGGGGGGTCAAAAGTATAAATTTCCCAGTAGTTTTCACAAGCGCCGGGAAAAACAACATAAAAATTAAGGAAAAACGGGAATTTTTACGCAAAATTGGTTTTCCAAAAAATCGATTTTGGTTTTTGGTGTAACTCTGAAACAAATGAACGTATATACATGAAATTTTCACTGGTTGTTTATATTTGCATTTTCTATACACGATAACATTTCCAAATATTTTGATTTATTTTGAACTGTTTAGGGACATTTTCATTTTCCATTTTTTTTTAGTTTTTTTTCTAAAAATATCAATAAAATTTTATTTGTTGGTTGCGAAAGCTTGAAAATTTAATAGAAGGCTCCTAATATATTGTTTCAAAGGCAGATGAAAAATATTAAAAATCCTTAGTCACAATTTTTTTTTATAAGCATTTAAAATTCAAAAATTGACAAAATATGGGAAAATCACGAAAATTAGCAAATTATTTAGAGTTAAGAATTCGTAAAAATTTTTCTTTTTAAATCTAAGATTTGAAAATTAAACACAAGATTCCTTATAAGTTTGTCTACCTTTATCAAAAGAAAAATGTCTATAAGAAAGTCAAATTAAATTTTTATGAGCGTTTGAAATTCAAATTTTTACAACATTGAATATTCACTCGATTTCCCATGTAGCGATTTCCTTATTTTGTTGTAATTCAAAAACAAATAACTGTAGATACATGAAAATTTCACTGAATGTTTATATTAGCATTTCCTATACACCATACAATTTTGAAAATATTTTGACTCTTTTTGAGCTGTTTATGGACCTTTACAGCTTTCAATTTTTTTTAGTTTTTTTTTCTATAAATATCAATAAAGTTTTATCTGTTGGGCCAAAAAGTGTAAAAATTTAATACAAGGCTCCTGATATATTGTTACAATATCAGTTGAAAAATATTAAAAATACATAGGCACAGTTTTTTTTTATAAGCATTTAAAGATCAAATTTTGACAAAATTTATCAAAATCTCGAAAATTATCAATCATTGTAATTAATAAATTATAAAATGTTCAGTTTTTATAGCTAAGGATTGCAAATTCAACACAAAGGTTCTCGTAAATAGTTCAAACTGTAACCAAAAAATCTAAAAAATATATGAACACAGTTATTTTTTACAGACATTTTATATTCAAATTTGGACGAAATTACATATATAAAACCTAGAATAACTATTTTAGTTAGGTATTTTGTTGTGATTGAATAATATTATTCGTGGATACATGAAACTTCTAAAGTGTACTATTATATATCTATGATAGTATCACGGTTTTTGTTGATGTATAACGCGTTATAAGTACCTAATGGATATTTTGATATGATTAATTTGGAATTTATTATAGGTACCCATTATAGGTCAATTTTTTGTTTAATACCATAGATATGTATATAATACCTATGTCTTATACATATCTAGTGACATCCTCCCTCAGATCTTTTTCTATACAATTGAAATATATCGTTGATTCAAATTTAATATCATCCATTATACAGTACACCCCTTGTTAACCTACTGTACAGCAGAAGCGACACCCACTTGCCCACACTTTTTTTCAATTTATAATAGGTAAATTTATAATTTTTTGAATCTCGGATTTATTTTTATAATATGTAAAATGACTTGTACCAAAAAGCCAGACAAACTAAAGGAATTTGGTTTGATGGTTTTAATTTTGAAACATGTTTAGGTATAATTGATTAACAAGTTTACTATATTGTCTATATATAACCATATAGGTATTTATAGGTTATTACTTATTATAGAGGCGATTTTTAATATTCCGAATATTGTTAGTGTTATCTATATTCTATACTAATCTATACTAATATTACAAAGAGGAAAGATTTGTATTTTTGTATGCTTGTAACGAATATTAAAATTTAATTGGGTGTTCAAAAATCATAATAAATAATAATAATAATAATATCTTTATATATAAAAAGGTGCTCTGCTGTACAATAGGTTACAAGGGGGGTCACTGTATAATGGATGGTATTAAATTTGAATTCAATGATATATCATTCAATCATTAGGTATAAGAAAAACGATTCTGAGTGAAGACGGTACTATGTCAGTCTAGGTATAAGACATATTATATACATATCTATGGTATCAAACAAAAAATTGACCCATTATAGGTACCTACCTATAATAAATTCTATATTAATCATATCACTATATCCATTAGGTACCTACTTATAACGCGTTATACATCAACAAAAACCGTGATACTATCATAGTCCATAGATATATAATAGTAGGTACACTTTAGAAGTTTCAAGTAGGTACCCACGAATAATATTATTCAATCACAACAAAATAACAAAAATAGTTATTCTAGGTTTTTTATTATGTAATTTCGTACACATTTGAACTTAAAATGACTATAAAAATAAACTGTCCTTCTGTATTTTTTTAGATTTTTTGTTAACAGAATTGACTACTTACGTGTAATCATGGTTTAAATTTTCAATCCTTATAGATATAAAAGTTGAACATTTAATATATTTTTAACTACAAAATAATTACCTATTCAATTTTAAATTTGATCAATGTTGTCAAAATTCGTTCTTTAAATGCTTATAAAAAAAATTGTGTCTATGTATTTTTAATATTTTTCAACCGATATTGTAACAATATATCAGGGGTCTTCTATTAAATTTTTACACTTTTTGGCCCCACAGATAAAACTTTATTGATATTTATAGAAAAATAAACTAAAAAAATTGAAAACTGAAAATGTCCGTTAACAACTTAAAAAGTCAAAATATTTTTAAAATTGTATGGTGTATAGAAAATGAAAATATAAATATTCAGTAAAATGTTTATGTATCTACAGTTATTCATTTTTGAATAACAATAAAATAACAAAACTGCTACATGAGAAATCAAGTGAATAGGTACCTATCCAATATTGTAAAAATATGAATTCCATGGTTTCGATTCAACTTCAATTATTAGCTTTTCGTAATCGAACATTTTTATTAAATATATTATTTATTTTTTTTTTTTACATAAAAATGAAATAAAAAAGTTCACCGCATACGACACTGCCGGATTGTGTGGTCGAAACTCGAAATATATAAAAATAATGTATATTTGGAGTTTGTCGAGTGTTGCCGATCCGATATCACCTCAACATGTTGCGGTAGAGACTTGCCGGAACCGGTGAAAACGTAGACCAAAATAAAATCAATAACTTAATAGGCATAATGTATTTTTTAAATAATTCCACCGGATCCGGTGACGCCGTATCACAAAAGATCCGGCTAGTGTGACGGTCGTGAATTGACTCATCGTGTGACCCGGCACGTCTATGTCAGCACATTTAGCTTCGTGGACACTGGAGCTGAGTAACAAATAATAATTCATGTATTTGCTAAATATTAAATTATATTTCTACTTGTATGATTGTCTAATGTAGAATACAACAATTCCAACCTATATGACCGTCCCCGCATGCTAAATATAAATATATTCCAATAGGTACCTACTATTAATTATTAATTACCAATAATTTATAATAATAATTGTGAACATAATTTAGTAGATTAGTTTAGTAGGACGCTAGGACGGTACACAATATAATATTTTCTCAAAATATTATAAAAATAGGTTAAAAATATGTTGTTGCGCTGATAAAATTTAATAACGGTAACAACCAGGCACTGTCCCACCGTTCTGCTTTTAAATCAGACAGGGGCAAATGGAAACCTTTCCAAATGACGCCACTGATTATTATACCTATTATAATACCTACCTTGGTGGCTAGGTACGTTATGAATGTTGATATTGATTATAACACAATTAGATATGTATTACAACGAATACTAATTGGCTGTAAAATGTCAATAGATAATATTATTTCTGAATATGTTCCTATTTATATTACAATTTATCGTATAATGAATAGTATAAAGATACCTACTAAATGGGCATACCTATCGGCTATCATGGTAATTGGTCGGTACTATGGTAACGTAAATAATATATAGTTATAAATTAAGTATTAATATTATAATGTATCTATTCTATAAAATCAACAAAATGTACGTTTCTATGAACCATAAACTGTAGAAACCACTAAACACCTCATTATTATTATTAAATGTTTTGTGGCGAATTATTGTTAAATATTTCATCTACACAATATTATATTATATGCATATTATATAATATACTTACCTATTTCAGAAATGAGTGAACTTAGAAAAATGATTCAACATTTTATGTAAATTTAATTTGTAGAAGATGGTGGATACGTTAAAAATATTATTAATCTACTTTTTCTTTTTATTATTGTCTGCTGTGCTTAGGTGTGAACGTGCCGAAAGACAAATAAATGATTTATCGAAGGCTACCAAATCCAAACCACCTGATCACCAAGACGAAAATATTGATATGCCCCAGATTTATTATCATAGGTATTTATTAAAATGCGCCGAGGCTGTGGAACCCGTTCCTATGCAAAAATCGTGGATAGAGAATATACTTAAAGTACTTACACAATATTATTATAATATTAAATATACAATATTTATTTTCCTATCAGTTAACCGTTTTACATTATAATTACCAACCTATATAATAATATATCTAAACATATTACTAACATGTTAGTACCCAGAAATTAATCGTTTTGTTAGAAATCAAGGTCAGGCCATTGGAAAAATAACAAAATATTGGAATTTTTGATTGAGGAAATTAAATCGCATTACATTATGAATGGTAAACAGTTTTACGTTGATAGTACTATACTACCGGTTATGAACTTAAAATATGAACCCGAAAGCCCGCAGTCAAAACCACTAACTAGACCGTGAGTTATTAATTATTATTATTTTTAATTCAACTTTGAATGGTATTTAAAGCTGCTTGGGCTGACCTATATATTTTAAATTCTGCAGTATAGGAGGGAAAACTAAAAATTATTCATCATTTTTAAAAATTAAAAAGCTCTTAGTGAAACGTTTATATAAATATCATCCAACATTAATCAAGATCGAATATTTTAAAAATCAGCTAGTTCCAACGACAATGATTGATGTAGAATCGTATAGGTATGTTAAGTATTTACATAATACAGCAATGAATAATATAGGTAACAATTTTGGATTACTACGATAAAACAAATTGTTGGCTTTTTTAGATTTAACGAATTTTTTCAAGACCTTGGCGATGTAATGAAAACTTTAAAAAATAATTTCCAAGAACAATGCACAGATGTGTATGAAAATTGGTATGAAAAAATTTTAAAAATTTTAGTTGAGAAAACAGCAACAGTTGGTGTTGCATTGAAGGGAATTCCGGATTTTCTTAAATGCATAATATACACAATTAGTAGAACAGTACGTCATAGTTAAATACCTACTTTAATTAGTATAAATTGGGTGCATATCTACGTAGCTGCTCTCCACATATTAAAACCAAAAGTATTTAAATATTATTACCGAACATCAGAAGAAGGTAACGTTAAACCGATGACAAAAAAACTTATTTTAAATTAGGTACTTACCTGCCATGCAATTGTATTTTAAGTGGAAGTATGAGTATTTTAATTTTATATTTTAAGGAATTATTCCTAAATTGTTGTAAGACAGTGTGTTCTATATTTTTGAACGAAAAAAATAAGAACAAAGTGTGTTACAATTTATAAGTTTTACATTGAATTTTTTTTTTTTTTTGATAATCTTTATTTTTATTAATTTAACTTAATATAGCTTATATTGTTAATCGTAAGCTTAACTACACTTACTTATAAAATTTATAGAAATAATTATAATGATTTAAAAAATGATTATACGTTGAACAGTTAAATATTATGATGATTGATGTTAAGTTATTATTTGTATTATTATTATTTTACAGATTGAACGACTAATTTTAAACTCGTTGGATTGTGTAGTACAATTATTTGGAGATTTAACAACGACGCCTAAAATAAATATTAAGTTGCATTTTGTGGGTTCAAAATGTATCAGTACGCCGACTGTGGAAGAAATTATTGATCAATACTGCTCAGTTTTGAATTTAGTGTGTATTTTAAATTATATTATTATTATTAATTTTACAAGTTTAAATTGTTTTTGTGGCAAACATATTTTTATAATAATGTATCTTTCGTTTCATATTATATAATTTATTTTAAATTACATTTGAAAAAAAAATGTAGGTACAGTTTCTTAAAGATTTAGTAATTTTTTTTTAAACTTTAAAAAATATTTAAATAAGTACCAGCCGTGTTCAGAATTGAGTTTTGAATTTAGTAATAATCAGTATAGTTATAACTTATAACTTATCAATCATTCAAACAGTCGTCTATAAACAATTAATAAAATTAAACCAATCTTGCTCACATAGTTCAACTAGTAACTAGTTTTACTATTATTATTTATTACCAAGATTACTTTATACCTACCTATTACCCACTAAAAACATAAAAAGAAATCGAACTTTTTTAACCATAAAAACATCTATTATTTTAATATAAATAAATCGCTGATATGTTACCTATATATTCATATAGCCTTATTTCATATAGATAAACACTGCATTCAGCGAATTACCATCTTTAGAAACGTTCTACGATTCGAATCCAAAATCTTCTCAATTTATTTCTATATATCGTGATAGTCAATACTTATCGGAAGCAAGAGCCACTTTAGAGGAGAAGCTACATTTGATGTATAAGAATTTGGTGACATATTTAGAAAAGTTGGGTAGGATTTTGTTGTCTAAAGAGACTATATTTACCCAGTGATTTAATTTATTTTCACGTCGAATTTTTATTGCAGAAAGTGATTTCAGTGAAATCGTAGATGAAGAACAACCGGAGAATTTTTCCCTATATTTACAGGGGAATCACACGTATGACGAAATGATAGAAATGTTAGATTTTTTTCAGTCTTTTAAGAATAGGTCTAAAGAATTAGGAGAATATTTTGAGTTTGAGCTAGTAAAGTAAGTAGTATACTTACTCAATACATTGGGTGCTAGTATTTTTATCTTTAAAATAATAATAAACTACCTATTACGTATTCTTATAGTATTGATCAGAGTGACATCAAAAATTACGTATACGATTTAGCCAAAAATTATATGGATCAGATTGTCGAGCGCGCCGTGATTAATAATTTAATTGATCACAAAAGGTATACCTATTATGATAATATTTTTTTTTATTATAAATAATATTATCTGTATAATACTATTATATTAGTTAAACCAAATATGTTCCATTAGCCATTATTTAGGTAGGTACATTGCTTTTTGTACTAAAGATTATTCTTCATTAATTGGGATATAACTATTATTTAATTACTGCTGCCGTGTGTTATGTTTTGTAAAATGTTCGTAATTGCTTTTAGCGTGAATCATAAATTCAACGAAATGGTTGCACGTGCTTTTTCCAAACCGAAAAATTCGAAAGAGTTTTTGGATCTTGGTGATTATATGTTGCATGCTTCTACCATATTTATGCAAGAGATGATTGAAACAGTGAAGTATTTATCTTCTGTCGCATGTGACTTATCGCTGTATGCTGTACTACCTAAAGAATTGTGGAAAGCACACGCGTCTTCTGTAGCGTGGATACAAAAATCATCACACATTTTCATCAGATATTCTACTATTTATGAAGCAGAAAAATCTAAAGGAGAAGAAAATATGGGAAAAACAATTAGTAAATTGAATTATGATTTAGATACTTTTGAACCTAGCCTTACGTTCTTGGATCGTATCGATGACATCAACAAACTCTATGAATATAAACTAGTAATATAAAAAGTGTCTATTTCATAAAATGTTATTAACTATTAATTATTTGCAGTTCATGAATGCATTAGTTAGAAAATTAGATAAATTTGATGCTACTGTTGCTTGGATCAACGGAGAAAAACAGTTGTTTAACAAAGAAATTACTCCATTTCAAGAACTTACCGAAATTAAAGTACATAACTATGTTAAGAAATGCATACATTTTTAAATTTAATACCGATAGCATAAATTTAGAAATTTTTATGAGTTTTGATAACAAATTTTATTTTTAAAACTATTCTGTAACTTCTCAAAAATATGTTTAACATCTACTTTTTAATAATTTTTAAATAAGAATAATTTATTGAGGTTTTAAAGAAAAATTTCAAGTTTCACTATTTTAAAAACGTAACAAATTTAATATTTAATAACTGTTAATTTGAACCCTACAATTTATGCCACCCAAAAAATAACACTACATTTAAATTAAAGGCATTTTATTTTATGAATACATTTTGGTAAAACTAGTTTAGAAATGCCGTACCTAATACCTATAATAGTACGTTCGCACATATTTTTATTTTATTATGCGATATCGCAAATATAATATGACATCATCTTAAGCGTTTTCAACACCTGAATACTAAATTAACGAGGAGTGTATCTGGGATATAAAATAGTATAAAATAAGGACGAATGGATTATTAGAGTTTTCTAAATAGTTACATTTTCAAAGGATTTCACTAAGCCATTCATCGACCTCATTGATTTTTCCTATCGTTGGTCTTTGAAAATGAATGCATGGATGCACGGTGACTTCGATACACTTATAATATATGATGTAGAATTGCAGTTCGATGAATTTTACAAGTAACTATAAAGAAAAACATTTGAATTATAATATAATTTATAACTAAATCTGTCAAATATATTTAGAGAAGCGTTAAGAATACAAAAATTATTAAGAAGTAAATGTAGAGAAATGATAACACAAGATAAAGGTAAAATATATAAAGGTGTAATGGATACTCCACAAATGAACCTCTGGCCAGCACCTTTAAAGATTATACAACAAATAGTTGATAGCATGAAGCAGTTTAGGGTTCGTATAATTTTAACATAAAAAATATGAATTTAAGGAATAAAGGGAGATGTAAATAGATCACGAAATAATACAATTTTTAATTCAATAAAATTGGGTATTTATCAAAAATAGTGTACCTACTGATTTTAGCAATGTATCCCAACCATTGGAATATTGTGTAACCCACATTTGACTGATAGGCATTGGCAAGACATGTCTGAATTTTTGGACTATGACTTTACACCTAATGCTGGCACTACACTTGCAAAAATTTTAGATTTAAAATTAGGACCATTACTAGTTCAGTAAGTATAACTTTTGATTTTGAGAATATTAAACAAAAATCTTAACTAATAAAGTATAATGTTATTTCATTGTAATTTGGGTGAAAACATAAGTATTTGGTTTTACTTATATAAGTAAATTCATAACTTTATACTTATATGCGTATTTACGGTAGGTATTACATAACGCACACATCTGTCATCTGTTTACTTACGACAACTTGTCTAAATTATTATACTTCGGTAATAACGTTTATGGATAAAACAATAACCGTTTAAAAATGAATAGAATATATTCAATTTGTGTGTAATAGTCAATAGATAAACAAATAAATGTTCCTACCTATATAATATAGAATTTGTAGTAACTATAAGTAGGTGGATTTGAGAGATGTAAATTAAAAATGATGTTTAAAGTATAGATAGACAAATCATTAATAATTTCATAAATATTTTTTAATATATTTATACAGGTTTGATATTATCAGTGTGGGTGCTACAAAAGAAGAACAATTACGAAAAACTTTGGTGAAAATGAAAGAAGATTGGAAACATATTATATTAACTACCAGCCCTTACTATAAGTATGATTTATTTTGACTAATAATTTATTATTACAGAAAAAATTAAAATAATTTTGAAATGAGCTAATTCGTCATTTTTAATTTTATTTTTAAGGGATACAAATTTAAATATATTGTCTGGATTGGATGATATACAAACGGTACTTGATGACCACCTTATAAAGACTATATCAATACGTGGTTCAGCGTTTGTAAAGCCGATAAGAAATGAAGTAAACGAGTGGTTCGAATTGGTTAACCGTATGAATATGACTCTGGAAGAATGGGCAAAAGTACAGATACAGTGGCTTTACCTTTTGCCAATATTTAGTTCTAAAGACATAGTTGCTCAAATGCCCGAAGAAGGATATTTGTTTAATGTAAGACTGTGTGGGACACAGTGATTGACTCCCATTGTTAAGAACCTCAACAACACTTAATGAAAATGTATTTTATATATTTTTTTAAGGACATCAATGTGGTTATTAAAGGATTGTTAGGTATGGTTAATTCAGATCCGTTAGCTACTAAGTGTATAGGACAAGAAGGTGTATTAGAATCATTAAAGAACTGTAATGAAATGATGGAAACTATAAATGCAGGAGTAAATAACTATTTGGAGAAAAAACGTTTATACTTTCCAAGGTGAAATTAATTTTATAAATAAGAGTATAGTTTAGAATTTGAATGTAGTGAACATAATTTATCAAAACCCAATTATAGGTTTTTCTTTCTTTCAAATGACGAAATGTTAGAAATTTTATCGGAAACTAAAAATCCCAAAAAAGTTCAGCCTCATTTAAAAAAATGTTTTGAAGGAATCGCTAAACTAGAGTTTAGTAAAAATTTAGATATTTTAAAACTTTTAAGTAGCGAGGGTGAAGAAATTGAACTTAATCAATTTATTTCAACTGTGGAAGCAAGAGGAAGTGTAGAAAAGTGGTTGATTCAGGTAATTCTTTAAAAAAAATCAAACATAACTTTAATAATAATAATTATTATTAATATTAGAGTTCATAATTCTAACGAAATATTTTCTGTTGTTATTTCTATTTAGGTAGAAGAACAAATGATTATATCAATTAAGCAATGTATTGAAAATGCTTATAATGAATATCCGACTATAAAACGAACTCTGTGGGTACAAAAATGGCCAGGTCAATGTGTTTTGTGTGTCACTCAAATGTATTGGACTGCAGAAGTTCACGACGTATTTAATGCCCATGAAGTTGGAAAAATGCGAGATTATCATTTATTTTTAACTGTAATACTGATTTTAACTTGTAATTAACTATTTATATAGCTAATTAAAATTTTGTTTAGAACCAATTGAATAATATCGTTGATTTAGTACGTGGTAAATTAAGCAAGCAGACAAGAATATCCTTAAGTGCGTTAGTAACGTTAGATGTCCATTGCAGAGATGTTGTTGACGATTTGGTAAATAATAACGTTTCTCACCATATGGACTTTAAATGGCTGAGCCAGTTAAGGTAACTTAAGATCAGTCTTAAATTTATTTAAAAACTCTTGTAACTGGTTCTATTTTTAGGTATTACTGGAAAGATGATGTATTGGTTTGTATTACCAACGCAACTGTATATTATGCATACGAATACCTAGGTAATACGCCTAGGCTTGTGATCACTCCTTTAACAGATAGATGTTATCGCACCTTAATCAGTGCTTATCATTTACACTTGAATGGTGCTCCTGAGGGACCAGCTGGTACTGGGAAAACAGAAACAACGAAAGATTTAGCAAAAGCTTTGGCCGTGCAGTGTGTGGTATTTAATTGCTCCGATAGTCTTGACTACTTAGCAATGGGAAAGGTATATGCATATTGAGTATTGACACTGTTAAAATCATTATTTTTTTTATTAATAATGAATTTGGGTTTGAAGTTTTTTAAAGGGTTAGCTTCAACAGGAGCTTGGGCTTGTTTTGATGAATTTAACCGTATTGACATCGAAGTATTGTCAGTTATTGCTCAGCAGATATTAAGTATTATTCAAGCGGTGAGATCTAATGTTGAAAAATTCATGTTTGAAGGCACTGAACTTACATTAAACCCAAAATGTTATGTGTGTATTACTATGAACCCGGGATACGCTGGGAGATCCGAACTTCCTGATAACTTGAAGGTTTAAATGTATAGAAATAGCAACAGCTGAATTAAATAACGATACTGTTATGATTCATAGGTTCTCTTTAGAACTGTGGCTATGATGGTACCGGATTATGCATTGATTGGAGAAATATCGTTATATTCCTACGGATTTGTGAATGCACGAGAATTATCAGTCAAGATTGTAACAACTTATAAATTGTGTTCCGAGCAATTATCAACTCAATCGCATTATGACTATGGTTCAAATATTTTCTAGTTGTAATTAATGCATAGATTATATTATATTATTCATTTTTAGGTATGCGAGCTGTTAAGACTGTTCTTATAGCAGCTGGTAATTTAAAAATGAAGTTTCCAAAAGATGACGAGTCAGAACTATTACTCAGATCTATTTTGGATGTTAATTCTGCAAAGTTTCTAAGTAAAGATGTTCCTTTATTTAATGGAATCATTTCTGATCTATTTCCTGGGGTTCAAATGCCAAATCCTAATTATAAAAATTTGTTGAATGCTGCAAATAAGGTAAGTATCTTTTTTATTCAGAGATTTAAATACATATAATATCACATCGTTTGGTTTAGGTGTGTACAAAGATGCAATTACAACCAAACGATAACTTCATGGAAAAACTAATTCAAACATACGAAATGATGGTAGTTAGGCACGGCTTTATGTTAGTAGGCAATCCATTTGGAGGAAAGACATCATTGCTTCATTTACTTGCAGAAACTTTGAGTTTACAGAATCAACTTGGTCAAGGTGAAGAAAAGGTTGAATATGAAACAGTTAATCCCAAAGCGTTGACTATGGGTCAGCTTTATGGATGTTTTGATGACGTTTCACGTGAATGGTCCGACGGTATTGTAGCTAACACATTTAGGTATAGTTTTATTTATTTAAGAAACATATGATATTTTAGTATATTATAAAGTTGTTTAAATGTTATATTTTATTCGATTTAATATACAGAGCGTTTTCAATGGCAGAGACTTTAGATAGAAAATGGTTGATTTTCGATGGTCCGGTTGATGCGGTTTGGATAGAAAATATGAATACAGTATTAGATGATAATAAAAAGTTGTGTCTAGTTTCTGGTGAAGTAATAAGTATGCCAGATTGTATGTCTATGATATTTGAAGTAATGGACCTTAATCAGGTATGGATAAGTGATTTAAGTGTTCATAAATGTTGTACAATAAAATACTATATTTTAGGCATCTCCCGCAACTGTCTCTCGATGTGGTATGATTTATTTGGATCCTGCAACTTTAGGTTGGAGACCATTAGTAGAAATGTGGTTAAAAACTTGTCCAGAACTATGGTATTTAGATCAAAATGGCATAGATATTATGTGCTTATTTGATTGGATAACTAATCCATGTCTTTATTTTGTACGCCGTAATTGTGTTCAATTAACTAATGCCGGAGAAACAAACACTGTTTTGTTAGTTGAATTTTAAATTTATAACCTTTATTATTATTATTACCTAATTAAATTTTTAATTTTTTTTTACAGGAATGTCTTAAATATACTGGAGATGCAGTTAAAAAATTCGAACGTTGATGATCCAGAATTAAATGAAAATTTCACACTTTATTTACAAGGAGCCTTTGTATATGCTTCTATTTGGGGTTTTGGTGGAACGCTAGATTCAAATTCAAGACCAGTATTTGATCTTTATTTTAAACAATTGTGGAAGGGAGAAATTATTGGTTTGGAACCACCAGAAACTCTAAGTCCTTTGGAAATTTTGATACCCAGTGACGGATTGTTATATGATTATGTGTACAATTTTACATCCAAAGGATCTTGGAAAAGCTTATTGGAAGTAGTGAAAAGTAATAAACTCCACGAAATGAATAACATAGAACAAACTCTAGTGCACACACTTGACACTGCGAGGTAAATTCATGTATCAAAATAATTTTCATAATTTATTTAATGTATTTATCTGTTTTTTTTTCATAGATATTTGCATTTAGTTGAAATGTTTATTTTTCATCACAAACCATTATTACTCTTTGGTTCTACGGGTACTGGAAAGAGTTTCTACATAAAAAATTATATGATGAATCAACTGTCATTAGATGAATATGTTCCATCTTTTGTTACGTTTACAATCCAGACATCTGCTAATTTTACACAGGAAATGGTTTTATCGAAACTTATTAAGCGTAAACGTGGTATATATGGACCGCCAAAGGGGAAGATTTGTGTGATATTTATTGATGATATGAATATGCCTATCAAAGAACAATATGGAGCTCAACCACCCATTGAATTATTAAGACAATATTTTGACCATGGACATTGGTATGATCTACAAGATACAAGCAAAGTTCACCTTAAGGATATACTCATGTTAACTGCCATTGGTCCAACTGGTGGAAGTAGACAAGATGTATATGCAAGGTTTTTGCGTCATTTCGGGTTATTTGCTATAAACTCATTTGATGACACAAGTATTACAAAAATTTACTCAACTTTACTTAATATTGGACTAAGAGTATATAATTTAATATCAAAATTTGATTATTATTATTATACACAAATTAATTTTTAGAGGAATGGTTTTACACTAGAAGTGGTCCCTATTATTGATAATTTAATTCAATCAACGATTGATTTGTATAAATCAGCTATTAACAATTTGGCACCAACGCCAGCGAAATCACATTATTTATTTAATTTACGAGATATTTCAAAAGTAACAAATGGAATACTTATGTTTCGTAAAGAAAGCTTTACCCACCGGAAAGAGTTCATAAGGTGTGTATATTGAACAATTTACTGTTAAGAAAAAATCCTTACTTATATATTATAGATTGTGGGTACATGAAGTACTCAGAGTATTCTATGATCGCCTCATCGATGATAAAGATAGAGAATGTTTATTCAATGAAATTCGTAACACAGTTAATAAAAATTTTCAAGAAACTTTCGATGTAGTGTTCAATGATTTATCAAGTTCAGTTGTATGCAACTACATATATTAATACGTTGTATAAATTAATACAATAATATAGTTCTTTAATGTTTAGCCTATTCGTTACCAAGACATGACAAATCTCTTATTTACCAGTGCTACAGATACTGATGCGGCTGAAAACAAAAAATATGAAGAACCACCAGAGTTATCAAATTTTATAGGAATAGCACAAATGGTGATGAATGAATATGACATGAAACATAAGTCAAAACTAAACATAGTTTTGTTTAAGTAAACTAATTAAAATAATTTTTAAAAATATTATTATATAAAATATATTATATTGTTCATACATTTTAAAGATATGCTCTCGAACATCTTTCGAGGATATGTAGAGTTGTATCAATTCCCGGTGGATGTGCATTGTTAGTCGGAGTAGGAGGCTCAGGCCGACAATCTCTCACTCGATTAGCATCGGAAATGTATAATTATATTACTTTTCAACCAGAAATAACTAAGAATTATGGATTCAATGAGTGGAGGGATGATTTGAAATTTATATTAATGGAATCGGGAGGAAAAAATCGTCCAACTGTGTTTTTGTTTGCTGAAGGACAAGTCAAAGAAGAGTATTTTTTACAAGACATAGATTCTCTGTTAAATTCTGGTGAAGTTCCAAATATATTTACTTTAGATGAACAGCAAACTATATTAGAGGTATTATCTTAATTTGTACATAAAATACCATATTATAAAAATCATTATAATTTGATCTTAATGTTGATAATTATAGATGGTTAGATTAGCTGCTCAAGGAGGAAATAGAAATTTAGATATTTCTCCATTGGTCGTTTTTGATTATTTTATCAATCGCTGCAAACAAAATTTACATATATTTTTATGCTTTAGTCCAATTGGGTCGACATTTAGAAACCGCTTGAGGCTTTATCCATCTATGGTCAGTTGTTGTACAATTAATTGGTTTGAGGATTGGCCAGAAGATGCTCTAGTAATGGTAGCACATAAATACATGGAAAACGTAAACCTGTCTATGAAAATTAAGGAATCAGCGGTCACAGTTTGTCAACGCTTTCACATTGATGCAAGGTAAGTAATAATTATTTTACATGACAAATTGAAATAATAAAGTTCCTAAATAATTACAGACGATTATCTTTGGAATTTTATTTCATCACACAACGTCGAACGTACATAACATCTGCGTCATATCTGGATTTAATTAAAGCGTATATGAATTGCACTAACCTTAAGCAAAAAGAAATTATGGAAGAAAAAATGCGTTACGTTGGTGGCCTTAAGGAACTAGAGAATGCTACTGTTCAAGTTAATCAAATGAAAGAAGATTTATTTATACTTCAGCCCAAGCTAGAAATAGCTCAGAAAGATACTGAAAAAATGATGATTATGATTTCACGTGAGACAGTTGAAGTTGAAAAAGCTACTGCTAAAGTACAGGTCGATGAAAAAGTAGCAAATATTCAAGCTGAGGCAGCTAATGAACTAAAATCAGAATGCGAAACTGACTTAGCATTAGCTATACCAATTTTAGAAGGTAATTAAGCTAATTTAGAATACTTATCCAACGTTAACAAAACAAATAATTTTTGTTAAATTTTGTTATACATACTTTTTAGTTTTTAATACCTACTTAATAAATAGACACTATAATACATTAATACATGTTTAAAATTTATCATGTTTTGGAAGTATAATAATATAAATTTTGGTTTTATTTAAAATAGTGTGGTAAATTACTAAAATGTTCTTAAAATTGCACTTTTAAAGTACTTAGATTTTTATTAAATTTCTAAAAAAGAAAATTTAGCTTAAAATATATTGTATACTATTTCTTACTCTGCTATGAACATAACATGTATGAGTAATAAGTAATTATGGTAATTATTTAATAGTATTCGTATAATATTTATCTGCGTTTTCTTTTTTTATTACAATATCATAACTAGTGGTAGAGATTTGTCACTTGTGTATGTTTTTAAGTACTGATTTTATAGAATCTGCTTATTATTATTGAATACCTTAAAAACATTCAAAATATAAAACAAAAAATAACCAATTATAACACGCAAACCAAACTTAATAATTAGTCAAAAATAAAAATAATTTAGTATACATACAATACAATTTTTTTAAGAACCACAAGTATACTTGACTAATAATTTGAGAAAAATATTATTTTTATTCAAAAAATAACAAATAAAAAACTAGATATAACAAACATTTTTATAATATTAAGCTCCTATATCTATCTCAAGTATAATAACCTTAATCATTTATGATTTTATATTATAATTAAGTACAATGATTAAAATCAAATTAAATTGGTGATATAATATTCATTTTTAGATGCAATCGATGCTTTAAATACTCTTAAACCAGCTGATATTACGTTGGTAAAGTCGATGAAGAATCCTCCTGTTATAGTAAAAACTGTAATGGCAGCAGTATGCGTGATGAAAGGAGTATTACCAGATAAAAGGCCAAATCCTAATAAACCTGGCCAATATGTAGTGTTTTTTTTATATAAAAATGCACACGTGATCAATAATAAGAAAATGTGGATTTTTTTTAGATAATTGACTACTGGGGTCCAAGTCAACGCTTATTAGGCGACCTAAATTTTTTGCAGACACTAAAGGAATATGATAAAGATAATATATCTGTTAAAATTATGGATGTTATACGCAAAACATATCTCCCTGATCCCAGTTTCAAACCAGCAATCGTAGGTAAAGCTTCGAGTGCAGCGAAGGGTCTTTGCAAGTGGATTATTGCATTGGATATGTATGATAGAGTGATAAAAATTGTGGCACCAAAAAAAGAAAAATTAGAGATAGCTAATACAGAATTTAATACAACCATGAAGATATTGGATGAAAAGAGAAATGAAGTAAGAGAGTTACAGGAAAGATTAGATGCTCTTAAAGAACACTTGCACCAGACAGTGTTAAATAAAGAAAAATTACTAGCGGAAGTAGAGTTATGTAAAAGCAAATTACTTAAGGCCGAAAAACTCATCGGTTGGTGAACCTAACATTAATTTATACTTAATTCAAAGATGAATTTATTTTAAAATTGTTCAGGAAGTCTTGGTGGTGAGAAACATCGTTGGGCCCAACGTGCTGAAGAGCTCCAGACCATCTATAATTGTATACCAGGGGATATTCTTATATCTTGTGGAATTATTGCGTATTTGGCTCCATTTACATCACATTTCAGGTATTCATTAAAATTAATTAAGAATCTATCCAATATCCATAGTAAACTTTAATTTTTTAGGTCATCGGTAATTAATGAATGGAAAGAATTATGTAATAGTTTAAAAATTCCAAGTTCAAAAAGTTACAGTTTAATTGAAGTTTTGGGTGTACCAATAAAAATTCAAAACTGGACTATTAATGGTTTACCAATGGATTCATTTTCAATCGATAATGCCATAATTATGGACGGGTCTCAAAGATGGTCTTTATTGGTTGATCCTCAAGGCCAGGCACATAAATGGGTGAAGACGATGGAAAAATCTAATGATATAGTGATTGTTAAGCTAACAAATTCCAATTATATGAAAATGATTGAACTAGCTATTGAAGTTGGAAATCCAGTATTAATTGAGAACGTTCTGGAAGATTTAGATTCTCCTTTAGACCCAATATTATTAAAGCAGATTTATAAACAAGGTAACTGCATTTAAATGAAAATTAATATTGATAAAAACAAATTATAATTAATCAATTTAAAATAAATTTTGATGAATGGTTGTTTGCTGATGATATTAAATTAAATGTGAAAATGAAATGCTATTAGTTGAATGAATTTACATTTAAACTTTTATAGGGTCCACGACGTTTATAGAGATTGGTGATAACGCTATTGAGTATAATACGAAATTCCGATTGTATATTACATCAAAGCTGAGGAATCCACACTATTCACCCGAAATATTTAACAAAGTTACCATTATAAATTTTGCATTGACCGTGGAAGGTTTAGAAGATCAATTGTTGGGGATTGTTGTGGCCAAAGAACGGTAAATAGCAATGCTCTCTGATCGATTATTTTGAAAAATTTTTTACTTAAATAAATATTTTATGTTCAATCCTAGGCCCGATTTGGAGTCAAAACGACAACAGTTAATTGTCGAAGGTGCGGAAAATTCTAAAGCACTGTTGGATGTTGAAAATAATATTCTACAAATACTTTCAGCACCAGGAAACATTTTAGAAGACGAAGATGCTGTTGATGTTTTAGATAACTCAAAGGTTGTATTAATATAACACAACCATATAGGTCAATATTATAATATAGTATTACATTTTTATTCATTATATTTTATTATAGTTTATTATACTTGTTAAATATCATAATTGTTTCATAGATATTAGCTACAGACATTATTCAGAAACAATTGGCTTCAGTAGAAACCGTCACGGTTATTGATCAATTCAGGTTGCAGTATAAACCAATCGCTAAACACTGCTCTATACTTTATTACTGCATTTCTGATTTGCCTAATATTGATCCAATGTATCAATATTCTTTAAATTGGTTTTTCAATATATTTGTTATAACAATTGAAACAGCGTGAGTACCTATACAGTTAAGCTATATATCGTTTTCATTCATAATATTTATATTTTATATCAAGTGTACGTAGGTACTTGGATAAATTGTAGTTGTATATAATAATAAATGTGGGTATAAATATATTTGTTTTTGCTTATTATATTAATTGATACCATGATTGAAAAACCACAAAGACTGTACGATATACCTATCATATTTTACATAGGTCGTTATTAGTTCCAAAAAGTTTTAATTTTTTCATTTGTATTGTAAATGTATTAAGTTTTTTTTCCATAAATCTATAAATGTTTTTTTGGGAAAAAAAAGCTTGAAAATGTAATGCAAGGTTCCTGATATATTGTTACGATGGCAGTTGAAACATGTTAAAAATACAGTTACAATTTTTTTTTATATCCATTTAAAGTTCGTATTTTTACAAAATTTATCAAAATCTTGAAAATTAATTATTGTAATTAAAAATTATAATATGTTCAATTTTTATATCTATGGATTGAAGATTTAAAACAAAGTTTTTCATAAATAGTTCATACTATAACCAAAAAATCTAAAAAAATATATAAACAGTTATTTTTACAGACATTTTAAATTTAAATTTGGATGAAATTACATATTAAAACGAAGAAAAAAGTGTTTAATTATTTTGTTGTTATTTAATTATATTATTCGTGGATATATTATGAAACTTGTATGGAGTAAATTATTATATTTTACACATACTATTACATTTTAAAATGTAATTGTTTTGGCAAAAATTAATTAGATATAGTAGATAATATCATAAAATATACCTACTTAGTAATATTATAGGCTGTTAGACGTCTTCGCTCAGAATTTCACACCATCCATTACAGTGACCCCTTGTAACTTACTGTACTGCAGATAGACATCGGCTTACCCTCTTTTTTTCATTACACATAAATACATTTTTTTAAACATATTCATATTAAAATTGTATTTTTGTATACCTAGTGAATTATTTGTTATATAAATATATAATATATGTTTAACTCAAATAAAATGTTTAAACATTTGTTAATGTATTAACCAATGTCAATGACCCTCCCGAGACCTATCACGTATTTAAATTTTGTAGTACCACAAGCCCAATGTCTATTTCAATGGACATTATCAAACACATGTTTACCCTTCCAAATTATCAATAGTTTAAGGTTAAATTGACATAAGTATAATATAAACAACAAAACTTGGCGGGCTTTTGTGGGGATAAGAGAAACTGTCCACTGTAGTGGATAATGGGTTTGTAAAAATGCAAAAATTAGATTAAGCTTGGGCGCTAAATCAGTAATAATAATTGTCCATTGTAATGGAAATTGGGCCGCATTATACTATTATATAATATGTAGTTGTATACTAAGTATATTTATCTTATAGGTATGTACTGTGTACATAAAATATGTTCAGTAATAATTAATATTTTTGATGTTAAAATTAAATTGGAAATGGAATTTTTTTTTAGAAATAAATCCAGAATAATAAAAATACGGTTAGAAGCACTGAAACAAACGTTTACATATAATCTATATGCCAACGTATGTCGGTCATTATTTGAAAAGGATAAGACGTTGTTTTCATTCATTATGTGTACTACAATAATGATGTGAGTGATAATTTTATATTATGTTTTCTAATATAATATATTATTATAGTCAACGAATGGTCGTTATTTTAGAGCTGAAAACAAAATTGATAAACAAGAATTAATGTTCCTCATGACCGGTGGTGTAGGTCTAAAAAATGATGTTCCTAATCCTGGGCCTGATTGGTTATTAGGTGAAAGTTGGGATGAGATTTGTCGCCTGGATGATATAAACACGTTCAAAGGTATATAATTTACACATTTATATTGATAAATTGTTGTTTATTTGGACAATTCGATATACAAACTCACTCTATTATTACTTATTTCAGGCATAAAAAATGATTTTATAAGAAAAGTGGAAGACTGGAAAAACTATTATGATTTAACTCATCATGAAAATGCGAAATTCCCTAATCCCTGGTACGATAAATTAAGTGATTTTCAACGTATTATTATCGTGCGCACAATTAGACCAGACAAAGTTATTCCAGTCATTACCAAACTTATAAAAATAGAACTTGGAGAAAAGTTCACTTATCCACCACCATTTGACATAAATAAATCCTACAGTGACTCAAATTGTCTGAGTCCTCTTATATTTATTCTATCACCTGGGATAGATCCTATGTCAAGTTTGTTGCTGTTTGCCGAAAAAATGGGTCAGATGGAAACTTTACAAAGTGTTTCGTTGGGTCAAGGACAAGTAAATAATCAATATATTTATTTAAATGATAAATTATATAAATATTACCATATATTTATAAAATTATGAAAGGGTCCAATAGCTGAATCATTCATAAACGCCGCACGAAGTGAAGGCGGCTGGGTTTGTTTGCAAAATTGCCATTTGGCTACTTCATGGATGGAACAGTTAGAATTAATCTGTGATTCATTTGATGTATCTAATGTGCATAGTGACTTTAGATTATGGCTAACTAGCTATCCATCGGAAAAGGTATTATAATGATAAAAGTTTTAATTAATCTAATCATTCATTATCTTAGCTTAATAGAATTATTTAATTTTAATCGTAATCTTTTTGTTCTTCAAGATAAAATTGTATGTTTATGTACTGATATTTATGCTAATTGTGTTTTAATGTACTTGAATTTCACTTATGTGCAGTACCTATAATTTATATATTTCAAACAGCAATACTACCCATTTTTCAACTTGATTCATTTTTTTCTTTTGTATTTTTTTCGTGGACTTAATGATTAAACCAACATCCCATTTTCAAAAATTGCTGATTCATACCATTTTAAATATTAGTTATTATTTGCATGAGTATTTGCATCTATAGTTATTTTTGTTAATCAGTAATTTTTGAGATGAGTGCGATGAGCATCATACTTACCAATATATATTTTTAAAAATGCCCTAAAATAAAAAAAGTTTTTAATAACTTCAGAATATTAGAACGTATGATCTTTAGTATGGCCCAATAATTTATCATAGACTTTTAGTCTCATATTTTCTCATTTCCTTTCTGATTTAATTAACTTTTAGAGACTTTTTAATTTTAGCTTATTTTTTTAATGTTATTCGTCATCACAGGACATCAACACAAAAAGTGTGTGCCTATACATTTTTTAATTAGCAAGAGCCCCATAATCTCACTTACCTTAAAAATTAACAAATTAGAACAGTTATTTCAAACGTTATGCATGCAAATAATATCTATCTAATTTGAATTTAGAAAGTAAATTTATTCATTACAATTTATGAAAAAAAATAAAGACAAATAATTTATGGTAAAATTTGTTGGTTGTCATTTTATATACAAATGAGTTTACTGTGTATACGTGGCCCGGTTGGACCCGTACTTAATTTCATAGAATAAAATTCAATAGTATAAATTTGAGTAGGATTCATTAGTATCTTGATTAAGATAAGAATCATGGTTAACAACTTTCGCAGAGTTAAGTATTTTGAGTTATTGTGGACACTCATTACCTTTATAGAATATACTATAAAATAACCATATATGATGTCATACAGTACCTATGTTTATAATTAAGTTAAACGTTTATTAAGTTCCCAGTTTCCGTACTCCAAAATGGAGTTAAAATGACCAATGAGCCCCCAACAGGCTTACAGGCGAATATGCTCAGAAGTTATCAGTCATATCCTGTTAAAGATCAAAATTTCTTTGAAGGGTGTCCAGGCAAAACTGAAATATTTACAAAACTTTTGTACGGAATTACATTTTTCCATGCTGTCATACAGGAAAGAAAAAAATTTGGGCCTATTGGATGGAATATACCTTACGGGTTTAATGAATCCGATTTTCATATTTCCATACAACAACTTCAAGTAATAATATACATGAATAATGATTTGGATTTAAGTTTAATGAACAAACTAATTTAATTTTAGATGTATATTAACGAGTATAACGAGATACCGTTCGAGGCCGTCACATACCTGACAGGGGAGTGCAATTATGGTGGTAGAGTGACTGACGATTGGGATAGGCGGACGTTGAATACGATTTTGGACATATTTTGCTGTCCACAAGTTGTTGAAAATCCTAATTATCTGTTTTGTGATATTAGCAAGGAGTATGGTTTACCCTTTCGAATCGATTACCACGGCTTTATAGAACAAATAGAAGTATTAAAACATTTCAGTAAACATCAATAAACACAATATTACGACTTCTGTTTTTTTTTAGGAAATTCCAATTGTCACAAGTCCAGAAGTATTCGGACTGCATATGAATGCGGGAATTACACGTGATTTACAGAGCACATCGCTACTTTTTGACTCTATGTTATTGGTAGTTGAGTCCAGTGGTGGTACTGACGATTCCGATAAGGCTGATAATCTGTTGATAGGAATCGCGTCCGATATACTTTCGAAGTTGCCAAAAAATTTCGACGTGGAAATTGCATCGACCAAATATCCCGTAATGTACAACGAATCCATGAACACTGTTCTCGTTCAAGAAATGGAACGTTTCAATGTACTGTTGTCTGTGATACGTAAGAGCTTACAAGACCTGATAAAAGCCATCAGAGGCGCCATTGTTATGACGCCAGAATTGGAAACAGTAGCCTTATCGTTATCCGTGGCTAAATACCCAGTATTCTGGTCAAAGTTTTCCTATCCTAGCCTAAAATCTCTAGGTGGATACATAACTAATTTTATTGAGCGTCTTAATTTCTTACAAGTAAGACTTAAGTATTTTAATTATGAGTATACCCGCTATACTTTATTCAAGATAAGAACTGTACTCGGTGGCCGACTTATGTGCAGTGCCGTTATTAGACGACAGGCCTATAGATGGTTGATTCGGCAAGGGTGACAAACAGAAGTTACCTATGACTGCCATCCGATGAAAACTGCCCCCTCCCCGTGTACGGTTCTTAACTTGAATAGATTACTTATAGTTTAGTTGATTTTAACATTAGCTTGGTTGGGTATGTAAACAAATTACTCAAATATAATTACAAATTACTAGCTTCTTACATAAGTTAATTATAAATATGGAACTGGATACAGAAATCGGCTGTTGGGTGCTATAGTTCCGCTTCGCTTATATTTTTTGATTATTTTGACAAGTATATACATATTACAATTCAAACGGTTTTGTTTGTTATTGTTTAATTTTATTATTATACACAATAGGCATGTATTATAATTATTTGATAATTGAGTGGATGCATAAGTGCCCACCAACTACATTTATATCCTGTTTGGCATTTCATGGTTACTGTTTACACAATATTATCTATTAACATTTTTTTTTTTTTTTTTAGAATTGGTACGACAACGGTAAGCCCAATAATTTCTGGCTAAGTGGACTTTTTTTTACTCAAGCATTTCTTACCGGAGCTATGCAAAATTTTGCACGTCGATACACAGTACCTATAGATCAACTGTGTTTCGATTTTGTAGTACAACATTCTGACCGAATTAATGCTGCTCCTGAAGATGGAGTGTATTGTTATGGTTTATTTATTGATGGTGCCCGTTGGGATAGAATTAAGTATGTTCTTATTGTATCCTAATATATTATATACTAATGTTATTAGAATATTACCTAGTGTCCCAGACACAGTTCATATTTACAATATTCGAAAAATCTAACCTTTTCGTCGACTTTACAGATACGTCATTAACTACGACGTAGTACCTACACCTATAAAGAGTAGGTATCTGAGTTAACCTAGTTTCATCAAGTTTAATAATCTTATAAATTATGATTGTTATTGTTTATCCTACGTAGTCGTAGTGTGCTAAACAATATTTTGTTTATTACTCTCTTTATACATAAATAAATTATTTTATAAAATTTAGCTATTAACAAAATATGAATTTTTAAATTATCATTATTTAAGATAAATAACATAATTGTTTAAATTTAATATTGCAGTATTGTAAGGGGCCATGTTAAGACATTAATATCTATGAAGGTAGACATTTTTTTCATGAAATTAATGTGTATACCGTTTGTGCTAGAACTGTTTGATGACTAATAGTCGACAATCTATATTTTATTGTATTCATGGCAAACACAACTAATTTCATCAAAGTAGTGCATTTTACTAAACATTTTTTCACATTATAGCATGGTACTGGAGGAACCATTCCCAAAAGTGTTAACAGACGTGTTACCATTAGTATGGTTCATACCTATAAGAAAAAATGAATTAAAGAACAGAAATAGATATGTATGTCCTGTGTATAAGACATCAGAGAGAAAAGGTATATTGTCTACAACTGGTCATTCCACCAATTACGTTCTACCGATGTTTCTGGATACCAACAAAAAGCCCTCTCATTGGATATACCGTGGAGTTGCTCTACTTTGTCAATTGAACGACTAAAATAGTTCTGTTTCACTAAAAGTGATGTTAACATTTCATTATTCCTTCATTTCATATGATAAATTAATAACAAATAAATATATTAATGGTAAACTACCTAATGATTTATTTACTAAAGTTTCCACTCCACAGAAGAACAAAATCAGTTAGGTATCGTCGTTTTATGTTTGTGGCTATAAAAAATAATAATAAAATAAAAAAAATCAGACAATTATTCTAAAAATAAATAAAACACTCATAATCATTTACCTATTTATTCAGTATTCTATACTATTTAAACCATACATAATACATTTTTGTAATTACTAATTAGTTAACTGTCGAAATTATTTAAAATTTTCATATTCGTCAATGTTTGTCAAATGTTGGTCAATTTTAACTATACTATGTAGTTTCAAGCCTTAAAATCAAAAATTGATAATTATCAAATGATATTTTGTCGAAACAAAATCACTGTATGAGACCATCTTTGAAATTTGAATTATTTAAAATCCTTGATGCACTCCTAGGTACATGTGGTACGAAAGTGGCATTAAAATAAAAATTCTTTAGTTTTCATAGGTTTTTTTCAGATTGGTCAGTCAAAATTAAACATCTTATTTTATAATTATTATTTATTATAGATTTAATGAAATAATAATACAAATTATTTTTATTTTACAAATTATTTTCTTATGTAATAGGTAGGTACAACATAGTTATCGATTCGTCGTATAGCGTTTACATAAAAACAAACGAAGACAAAATCATTGCAATTCGGTGCAATTCGTATATTTAAAATACTCAGGTACCTATTTATCAATACTTAATCTATATTTGCGTTTGGAAGATCAAATTTATATAGATACGGATTTTATTCATCCAAGATAAACTGAATTGTTCGTTAAAATCAGTCGAATAATTCTTGAGCCGATAACCACGACCATATTATACAGTGTACACATAATATTGGCTTATCAATAATATAAGAATTTGATGCAATCTATTATTCATCGCGTTGTACTCTGTCTCTCTCCCCGACGATATTTTTCATAAGAGTTGAAGAGACAGAACTTCACCCCGTAACACTGTATTTGCACAGCTGCTAAAAGTCTACAGCCATTATGCTTATAGGTAGCATTGTTTCAACTATTTATCGTGTATAGACACACACAAAAAAATCATCACACATTATTGTAAAATCATTGTCTTCATCGCTGCACTTAGAATCTAATAACATGATGTATGAAATACAATAATAATAATATTATTTTCATCAGTAATTTTTTATTATTAGAAAAGAATGTTAATATGAATAGTAAGTTAATAAAACGATCAATGCTCATTGCAATAAGGACAGATTTCAAAATACCCCTGAATACCGCAGACTGCATGTTCGCACCGTAACGGTAGCCCGACAGCTGTGATCCTGCCGATCTACTGCCAAGTCCAGCGTGTTGTGCGACCATAAGGTTGCAGGAATTTTGGCATTGCCGTGTGGGGCGGCGTCCATCTCTGCAATCATGCGAAAGGGTGACATCGGTGATGGGGCGGGTACAGAGTATCCGACATTCCGACGACCGGATACTCTTTGAATGTCCACGCCGTAACGGCAATCCGATAGCTGTGATTCTGCGATCAACGGCCAGATTTAGTGTGTCAATCACGGATTGACCCTCACTGACATAATATTCATATGGTTCGGGGCTGCTGGAATTTTGGAGTTCCCACGTGGACGTCTATCCCTGTCATGTAGACTACAATTAACAGATATACCTACCTACAATAAATACGACTGACGTATATCACGTAACTACGCAATACAATAACGTCAATTATAGTAATATTACGACGATAATAATATTATTACCACGGACTAAGATATACAGGTCTGGAGGGTTGGAGGGTGTGGGGGGTTGACCACGAAATGTAGTACAACAGGTGGAGTTCAGGGGGATATTTTCCTTTTAGCATTACTATCGCTATCTTATTGGATACTTATGGAACTAGAAATTTATATGATGCGATCTAGTTCCATAAGTATCCACTAAGACGGCGCTCGCTCTAGAAATGCTAAAAGGAAAATATCCCCCGAACTCCGCCTGTTGTACTACATTTCGTAACCACAATATTCATCTCGTGTCCCAGTTCTGTATATGTTAGTCCGTGATTATTACTATAATAAAGGCAATTAGATTTTGTAATTGGCAAAGTTAATTAAGGTCGTCGTTTTCATGGAAAACTCATACTTTATAACCCACCAACTAAAATCCAAGTCTATTTGGTTTTCCCAAAGTATGATAGAAAGGTATACAATTAATTTTGTATGCCGGAAGTCGGTGGGCCCCTCTTATGAGTGGGCCCAGTGCAAATGTCCCAATTGTCCTTCCATAAATATGGCACTGCATCTGCATGTCTGCATGTAATATACGAACAGTGAACCAATATGTTATATATTTCTAAACCTTAGACCCGAAAACAATATTTTTTGCTGCAATTTGAATAATATACCGTTTTTTATAATTTGGTAGGATTTTTTAACTTGTTTTTATCAATTGTTACACTTATACGTAATTTTTATTTGTTTAGTATTTATATTACTCAATTTTAAAACTAAATGTGACATCAACACTCAAATACCAAAAGCATCATTTTAATAAAATTAATCTTGTAATCTGTGTTACAATGGCATTTGAAAAATCCTTAGTCACAGTTTTTTTTTATAAGCATTTAAAGTTCAAAAATTGACAAAATATGGAAAAATTACGAAAATTAGCAAATTATTTGTAGTTCAGAAATCGTAAAAATTTTTCTTTTTAAATCTAAGGTTTTAAAATGTAATACAAGATTCCTTATAAGATTACCTTATCAAAAAAAAAATTTCTTTAAAAAAGTCAAATTAAATTTTTATGAGCGTTTGAAATTCAAATTTTTACAACTACATTGGATATTCACTCGATTTCTCATGTAGTGATTTCCTTATTTTGTTGTAATTCAAAAACGAATAACTGTAGATACATGAAAATTTCACTGAATATTAATTATATTAGCATTTCCTATACACCATACAATTTTGGAAATATTTTACTCTTTTTGAGGTGTTTACGGACATTTTCAGTTTCCAATTTTATTAGTTTATTTTTCTATAAATATCAATAAAGTTTTATCTGTTGGACCAAAAAGTGTAAAAATTTAATACACGGCTCCTGATATATTGTTACAATATCAGTTGAAAAATATTAAAAATATATAGGCACAATTTTTTTTTTATAAGCATTTAAAGATCGAATTTTGACAAAATGTATCAAATTAATATACCACGGCTGCCACCGCCCGGCTTCTGTCGCTGTTCCGCCGTGGTGGTGTCGTCTGCATATTTTGGTCCTCGGCAAAGTACGGTGACGTTTGCAGGCGTGTGGACTGCAGGTGGCTAATCGTGGATGGTCCGGTCACGTTTGGCTCGGACTGGTGTCGGCGGCTAATCGCGACTGGGCCGGTGACGGTTTCCAAGGATCGGTATCGGCAGCTAATCGAGGATGGTCCTGTGATGTACTGACTAAACTGCAACAGCGTCCGTTCAGGAACGTGGAAACTTGCCGCTCTCAATTCGGCAAATACACTTTGCATCACTTCCGTCTCGGTCGGCTGCAAGTTAAGGGATTTATTTTCTCCGCAATTCATCATGATCGTACGAGAATATAATATTATATAGATATAGGTCAAACACGACAACTGGTATTATATTATAATACAATACGCACGATGTATTAATTTGGTTAGCTGATAAATAAGAAATATTGAATTGACTGATGTTATATAATTTTAGAATCATTAACAACACTTATTTTAGTATACTACTTTATCATAAAAAGAGAAATGTCAATTATCTTGTTTTGATTCGAGTTGTAGTTATAAAATGTTTGTATATAAAGCTGCGATATCATTTTTTATATTGGTTAACACATTATCTGATATTATAAAAACTTATAAACTTTTGTTTCAGAGATTAAATTGGAAACAGTAGTTTGAATTAGTAGTAGTTTAAACAAGTTATTGTTTTAAATTTATTTATAATTTTAGTCTATTAGTTATTTTAGATATTCTGAGCGGAGTGATGAATGTATTCACTTTTATACAATAGTTTTTTTTTATGTTTTGTGTATATAATATGATAAATATTCGATATTATAATGCTTCAATTTTCACATACTGTATCTTTTATGATAATTGGTACATTTAAGAATTCAAAAGCGTAGAAAAATAAAATTAAGGAAATACGGAGATTTTTATGTAAAACCAGTTTTCCACAAAATGGATTAAATAACTAAAGATACATGAACTTTCCTCCAAATGTTTATATTAGCATTGTCTGTACATCCTACAATTTTAAAAATATTTTTGCTCTATTTGAGCTATTTGTAGAAATAAGAAAAATTCAATTTTTTTTATTGTTGATAAAACTTTTGCTCCGTCAAAAATGTAATATTGCACTATTCGTCATACATTTTTGTCTGAAGAAATTGAAAAAAAAGTTGAACGTAAGTCCAAAATAATATTTTATGAGCGTCTACAAAAGTTATAATATTGACAAAATTCTTACAAATTACGAAAATCATAAACAATTTTATTTATTTTTATGTCTAAGATTTAAAATTTAATACAAGATTCCTATAAGTTTTAAACCTTAAAAAAAAAAAAACAGGATAAAAAAAAATACAAGAAATATGTATAAAAGATAATTAAGTATTAACTAGGTAGATGTCTAGATACGAAACAAATAATTTATGTATTGAAAATATTGAAAATATTATATAATTATATATTTTATTCATATTTATATGGTTTTTTATAATCTTATGAAAAAACTGTAAACAGAAAATTCTTATTATCTGCAATTACATACCATTAAAATAATTATAATTTATCATTCTTATTTATATCTTACAAAACGTATTTGCGTACAGTATCTATAATACACGTCCGATAGGATGACCCAAGTGGATTATCATATACCTACCACTTGTACGACATTGATTCAACAATATCATATTATATTCGTATTGTTATTCATTAACTTCAACAGTAATCTGGAGTCTAACATGTAAAATGTAAGCCTATATTTAAAATAATGTCGACTAACCTAACAAATGGTACGAGTTTATTCTGGTTTATATTAAAATACCGATTTAAGTTTGATTAAATTATAACTTCTTTCGACTTTGTATCAAATCGTTTAATTTTTAATGATTTAATGTATTTTCAAGTATCAAGTAAACAATTAAGTATCTGCAGGACAATACAAGGTCTAGGCTATTATAGGTAAATGTATTTAATAAAAAATAATATTTAATTTTAAATTATATTGTGTTTCAAGTTGGAGGCTGAAGTCAATAATTAATTACACATAAAAAAAGACTACAATTAAATACAAGGATAATGTATTTTTTTATAATTTCTCTGTTTTAGTGTTTGTAAATTTGGAAAAAAAAATTAGATTCTATTTATTCGTATTTTCTTTCTCGGCGCTATTTATTTTTATGTATGATTGAAGTTGAATAATTTTTAAAACTTCATAAAAAACAAAAATGTTTGGATGTGGGGAGTAAAAATATTTCCCAAATGCTGAGTGAACGACTCACAGGCATTTGTCGTTCTTTCGCCTGATATGTTACACGATGCCCAAAGATACGGTGGGAAAGTTGCATCTTCACCAATATATTATATATCAACAAGGTAATGGCAAAACGTATCAATTCGTTCGTCCATTGGTTTAATGCTCATAAAATCAACCGCGAAGCAACTGCCGACGTTTTCAAGTTCAAGTAGTGATAGGCCGAATATCCACTTTAACCATTTTCCAATGTCACTCGAATGATTTTTATATTCTGAAGATAAGCCTAAATTTTGGATTTTTCTCCACCTGCATGATTGAGAGAGGTGAAATCGGCAACCACGTAATATTATATTCGTCCAAACCGTAAGAACAGCCTTATAATATGTAGTATGCCGTATGCTTTGCTCAAAATCTACAATGAAAATTTTTGGTTGAAAATGTACAGACAATTTTGATTTATATACCTCAATTAAACTATTAAATGCTTGTTCATAAATTTTAGTTTCTTTATTTGGCAAAAGAAAAAAAACTAATGGAATATAATGACCGTTTTTAACTGTATGGATTGTGAATAATTGATAAAAATATTTGGGACAGTAAGAAAATGTCCCGTCCATAAATATTTTTTCTTGACTACAGAGAAATTTTAAATTAGTCATTGTTGAAAATGCCGTAATTTTGTTTTCAGAATCGTTTATTTATAAAAATTCTTCGTCTTTATTCGTAAGTGTTGGAATGCTAAGTAAAGCTTCTTGGGTTTCTCTCAAATTTGTTTGCAATGTTGGAGTATTTTTTCGTCTAGCTCTATATAAATTGTGTCTTATATTTGAAATATCGCCGGTTTTAAGGTTGTTTGTTAAATGATTAGATATTTCCTTACTTATTATTTTTAATGGCTTTTCTGTTAAATCGTCTATTGCTTTTCTTTTCACCTGATTTGATACAATTTGACGTTCCAGGTTATTAGGAGGATGATGTTCATGTTTAATTTCTTCAAATAAAATTGTAGTTTTACCCTCATATACGTACAGCTTAGAGTTGCAACTTTTGTGTGCGCACAGTCATTTATGCCCTTTTTTGGTAAGTTCCTTATAAGAAAATTTATAATTTTGGTAAATAATTAGTTCTTTACCACGTTCACTTAGTACAATTTCCATTATAAATTTAAGCACGAGCCACGACAACTTAACGAACGACTATACGAACAACGCATGGAATTTTACTGCACAATACTGTGGATTTACCTATAACCTAACATGGTATTTGTCCACATTTTGCAATTTGTTTTATCTTCAAATAATAAAATAATATAATTCAAACTTACCTATGATATATAGATATACGATATAGATATATTAGATTAAAACACCTAAAAACCGATATGTAGTTATAATAGAAATAGTATTATAGACATTTATATATATTTAAGAATCGAGAATTAACGTACACAATTTATAACATTGGAATATCGATCGGCGAAGTTCCTTTTTCCTATCCCATAATTTTTCTTTCTTTAAATGTGATTTCCGGCGCAATTGATATATGCCCCTTATTTTTACGTGCCGTACTTCATTAGAATATAATTTTTGAATCCTAAATTATGCATTCAGCAACTTTCATTTGTATGTAAATACAAACATAATATTTAAAAACAAAATATGTATTTTGCAATATTCGGGGTTTTTTTAGAAATGTTATGCACTCTGTCGTACAGGATGAGTGTACGCATGACCGTTAGCCACTCACAGATAGCGCAGGTTAGACCATATGGCATAAATTAGATACTTACTACATTAATACTATTACTACATAAATAAATACGTTGTGTAGAAAATTCAATTTACTAACAATTTCATCAAAAGACATTTTTATAATAATTATAATAATTAAAGAAAAAAGCCATTATGTTTGTTTAAGACCATTGATTGTAGTAAAAGAATAATATACATTATTTTTTTTTTTTTTAATAAGCTCAAACTTTTAATTTCGTATAAGCCATAAGGTATAACATAATATATTATAAATTATAATATAGGTACTTTTATAGATAGGTACTTAAATAAATATTATATAATAATATTATGTATAATGTTACCCATTACCATATTATAATGTTGATAAACTAGACACATCAATTTGTGTTATTTTAAAATTTTAAATTGGGTGAATCTGCCACGCGACTATAATAATATTATAGTATAAGCAATGACAATATTATTATGATGGAAAACGGGTCGATGGTGTTAATCTTTTCATAATAAGTACAGGTAATAAACGGTCATAAAATTATTTACAATAGTCGTGTAGTTAATATTTTTAAAAATTCGGCATCGAGCCTGAGCCATATCCGATATTTTGGTTTCGTGCTGTTTATTATTGACGTGCTAATAGTAATAACGATATAACATCATCATTGCATAATGATTCACCGTTATATTCGCATAATCATTTTTAATAGGTATACGTACTATGATCTCGTTTATCAGCTCCGCGTGCTGTTCGTACGGGAACGAGTCGTCGTCCGTTGTTGAAAAAAAAAAAATAAAAATAATATTAAATCGACTGCAGTGTTGATGTTGTGTCGGCGCAGTAACATAACAACCGCCGTCCGGTCCGGTGCTTCGAGTTTTCCGTTTTTGATTCCGTCGTGGACCGCTCTTAAAACGCTACGGGGAGTCGACGGACCGAGGACGTGCCCGATTATACCACTACAGGTAAGTGGTAGTTATAGTTATATGCAGAAGTTAGGTAGGCTCAGGCAGGTATGATAATTATAATATGGGAGTAACCACGATAGCACACTAATTAACAAAAATAATGAGTGTTTTACGTGAAATAAATTAATCACCATGCATAATAATATAAATACACCTATACGTGTATTGAAGTATTAAACTGATTATAATACCGAGTATATTATACTATATAGGTAGTATAATTCTTTTTTGTGTCATACAATTATTGCAATGTGGTAGGAATATAATATTAAATAAATACGTACATAATAATATCATATTATAGTCCTATTATTAACAATAATTATTATAGTATAGGGAATTTCTTAAACTATAATAATAATTTAAGCCAACAACATTTTTTGTGCGCAATTATGATATTTTTTCTCAAATATAAAATAGCAAAAAATGCTCAATCGTGCTGTGTTTGTTCCAGGTAAAAAGGTAATAAGTGTGCAATCGTATTGGACCGAATATTATATTATTGTATTTCACGTTAGTAGAAAACGGCGGACTCCACATGACTTCTCGTCATTTCCGGTCTTCCTGTCCAATCGCCGTGGTTGTCTTGTTACTGGCTCTGTTCATCCCTTCTCTGACGGCAGCGTCTTCCGGTAAATGCCGACTAGTCCGTTCTCTCCGAGATGAGATCGCCAGCTATCGTCCCGTTGTGGAACGCGTGCTCTCATACGTCCAGGATAAGAACGGTTACAAGGGCAGGACATGGGCTGCCTTATCCGAGTTCACAGATACGTTCGGCTCACGGTTGGCAGGCACGTCAAACCTCGAGAACTCCATCGACTACATGATGAACTCACTGAGGGCCAAAAACTTGGACAATGTGCACGGCGAACGCGTCATGTTCACGGGATGGCAAAGGTATACACTATATACAATATACATATTATACATTGTGTAATATTATATCCAACGGTTTTCGGCTCATAATAATATATTACTATGGCAGCTAGTATGACCTTACATGTTTTTGCCCAAAATCAACTCTTTTTACCCAAACTCAAAAAAGAGTGATTTGGTTTTCGCTCAAAGAAATATTATTCATAGTAAATAAAAAAACATTGTGGTTATCACTGTCCGCTAATGACGTAATAAAAAAAAAAAATAAAAACAAATATTATTAGGTATATAACTTTAAAAAAAATGTCAATACAAAATCATCGTCTATGGGCATGGTTGAATATTATTTTTAATGAAGTCCAAACCGAAAATTTAATTTAAAATTAATTGAAATTATTTTAAAAAATGTTATGAACATTTTGAAAGAATTAAAAAAATTGAAGCGACAAGAAATAAATCAATTTAAAATTACACAAAGAAAATCTCCAAAACAGCTCAAAATGAGTCATCATATATTTTTAAAATCTTATCAAGTATAGGAATTGTAATACATAGATACTAATTCCAATTTACATATTATATTACAGATATTTGGTACTAGATAGTAGATACGGCAGATAGTTGATTAAATAAATATTACAATGTCGAGAATTATCAAAATTCCGAGGTTCACCTGAATTTTAAAATAGTCCTTGAGAAAATTATGAAAATACGATTATAACGTATTTTAAAAATGAGTTAACATTTTTTTTTAGGAATATATAATATATATTATATTGATTATACATATAATATATATATAGTAGCCTGCAGTAGGTATTAAAAATTCAGATAATCCACATTTTTGTGTTAATAGCTTACAATATAATTTAAAATTTTATTTGACTTTCAATACGTCTGTTACCTACATAAATATTATATAATAATACAATGGGAAGAATTAATAATAATAATTACAAATATTATAATTTTTAAGTATATAAAATAGTATTGGTATGTAAAACTGGAATAAAGTCATACTATTTGCCCATCAATTTACATTTTGGTACCTAGTCAATAATATAGCTGTAAAGTGTACCTACACAAACATAAATTAGTTCTATACTACCTACTATAGGTACATAATATAACATAACAATATAATTATTATTACACAAAACAATAATTTGGTAACATTAATAATTATACTCGGCAATAATAATTGTATATTATAATATTATATTGTTCGATTACTGTTTTAGACGTAAGGAAAACGCTGCTTTAGTGAAACCTAGGTTCAAGAACCTGGCGATGTTGGGGCTGGGTGGCAGTGTCAGCACAGCCCCCGAAGGAATCAGGGCTGAAGTAGTGGTGGTCACCTCATTCGACGACCTCTCCAATAAATCTTCACAGGTATTATCTATAAGTTATAAACTATATAGTATATATTATATTACCTATACCAACTAACGAGACACTGCATGTTTATTTATTCATTTAATATTTAAAAAATAACTTTAAATTAATATATATTATAATATACGCATCTTCATAATACATTTGTCAGGTCAGCGGAAAAATCGTAGTGTACAATCAACCGTACGTGTCGTACTCTGAAACTGTGGTGTACAGGTCGATGGGAGCTAGTGAGGCGTCCAAGTATGGTGCCGTGGCCACATTGATTCGATCCATCACTCCGTTCTCGTTGAATTCACCACACGCCGGCCATCAGAGTTACAGCGACGGCGTGAAAAAGATACCGACGGCCTGCATCACGGTCGAGGACGCCGAACTCTTGAACAGGATGTACAACCGAGGTCAGGACGCGTCATATATTGTTATAAATGGGTGGCCATTATTGATGGGAAATTTTTTTAGGGGTAGTGGGTTGGTTGGGTTAGGAAAAAAAATCTCGTAGGATTTAGAAAAGGATTGCTTGACAGCTGTTAGAATCAATCCAGAATCTTTTAGTGGAGTTGAACTTTTGTTTCTATGTAACACCGTACATTTATAATAGTTGGGTAAAAATACCATACATACACTATGCATATAAAAATAATATATCATATCCCTTTTAACGTATGTGGTATAGGCACCAAATTGGAGATTTTTTTGAAAATGGACTCAAAGTTCTTTACCAACGCTACATCCAGGAACACTGTTGCCGAAATCAAAGGCAAGACAGATCCCGATAAAATAGTGTTGGTATCGGGGCACCTGGACAGTTGGGACGTGGGACAAGGTGCGATGGACGACGGTGGCGGTGCGTTTATAAGCTGGAATAGTCTCGTCGTACTGAAAAATCTTGGACTTCGACCTAAGAGATCGATAAGGTAGGTATTATATTATACGTAAGTAGTTCAAAAACCATAACATTATATGATATAGATTATAGATTCATGTTGGATTTTATGTTTTTTTGTATTTTTCTCGCTTTATTCCATAGCCTAAAATCTATTACCCAAATTCAAATATCCGTTTTATAAATAATTGGATATAGGTACCTACTTACGAATTCATATAAAACAATTAATTAGGGATATTTAATTTTGATACTTTTTTTTATGAAATTTTAATTTGTAGGAATAGAATATACCTACAAAACGTCGGACAAAAATATGTGCAAGGTTGATTCAGATACTTATATTATATTTTGTATACTGCGTAATAATGCATTATTAATATTTTGATTCCTTATAAATTATGAATTATTTGATCAATAGTATTAAACGTTATATTTGTAGGGTATTTTATACATCTATATAATATTATTAACTATATTACAATGCGGACACTGGTGATTTGTATCTCTTTGCATACAGATGTTTATTGTGGACAGCTGAAGAAGAAGGATATATAGGGGCCTATGCGTACTTAAAAGGACATAAATCAGAACTTGAAAAATTTAATTTGGTCATTGAATCGGATGAAGGGACGTTTCAACCGTATGGAATTGAGTTTCATGGTTCTGAAACATCAGCGTGCATTATGGTTGAAGTGGCCAAGTAACTATCATAATATTGAGGATGTTGTTTTATTTTTTATTTTTGTCAGTAAAATACAATGGTATTAAAATTAAAATGATATTAATCGTGCATCAACTGATTTATTTTTATTGATTTAATAATTTCAGATTATTTGACTCCATCAATGCGACTACCATGCAATCCAGCAAAGACAACGTTGGTTCGGATATCGAAGTATTTGAAAACATTAATATACCCGGTTTGAGTTTGTTGAATAAAAACGAAAAATACTTTTGGTATCATCATACAGAAGCCGATACGATGGCCGTCGAGGATCCAGATTCGTTGGACTTAAACACTGCAATGTTTGCGGTTATATCGTATATCATTGCTGATTTATCAGTAGAATTGCCAAAATCATAAACTTCATAAAATATTGATATTACTTATGTCTAAAGTCTGTAAAATTAAAACATTTTTCTACGAATAGCTTAGGCAACGTCAGGGCTTAAATCATATTAGCCATTTTTAAATGTTGTACTAAAATTAAAGGTCTTAAAACTATTAAAATACATTTTCAAATTTATTTTGTTTACTATTATTTCAGTTATAGTTCTAATTCAACCGATGGAATTTAGTTATGTTCTTGTATTATATCAAATGGTGAATTGTATAATTTACGGTGTATGTATAAATTGAATATCATTCATATAATTATGATGATTAAAATAAAAAAATTTTGCTTGATTTTAAAACCATTTAAATTAATTTCATAATACTTTTGTAAGAAACTAATTTTTTACATTCTTAATCGTTTTGAAAAATTAATAAAATAGGTTTAATAAATTACACAGTATTATAAAACTATAGACAGCGAAGTGGGGACTTCCACGGGACAAACCCTACAGAAATCTCAAAAGCTCTCCTCCCAAATTGAAACTGTATAAGTGAACCTAAATAGTAATTGGGGTGCAGGTTAATATTCCTAAGTTAAAAAATGTACCAAATAACCTTCTGTTTAGTGCAGGTATTGATGTAAATAAATACAATTATAACATTTGTTTCAACGAAGTCGAATATCTTAGATTTTAAACTATTTAGGATTTAATCCATGTTGCTAATAAAGTACGTTTTTTTCAACATGTTCTTGAACTTTTTTTGGTCTCAGTGGTTTCTTATCTTTGGCAATTATTTTACTCGCTACATAATGCAGATGAAATATTAAACTATAAACTCTGTACTTTTTACTTCGTTCCGCATAGGCGTAAATGAGTTGGGGGCTTAGGAGGCTTAGCCCCTCATCCGACTAGTGAATCACCTTCGAATATTTCCTAACTTAACCTCATAATTCATAAGTATAATATAAATTATGTTCAATAGTAAAAAATATTACCGATTGTCAAAGTGTGGTATCCGAAATCATTATAAATTAAATTGGAGTTACAGCATATAGTGAGTTGACAATTAATATACATAATAATAAGTGAACGATAATTATTTGTATTTTCCAACGAACATCGCTTCTATGAAATATTATCTTCGCGCCCGCACATCAGACTGTGTACAATATAACAATAATAATAATATTATGTTATCGTGAAAACACGACCATGACATTTTGGCATTCGAAAGACATGCAACGTATTGAAAACAATTAGGACAAAACCCAAGTTCCGAGGGAACAATGCCAAGTATGTCATTTCTTTTGTGTAAATTATTTTATGTTGAATTGAATGAATAATTAATTTTAACGAACAATATTTAGTATCTGTCACCGTGATTCAATAATCATTACGGGTCGTTGTCAATTTGGCCAAGCACACGGCTCGGTGGCAGCAGGGAGTTGGTTAGTTGGTATACTTACCACCATACCGGTATAGTCGTTACTCGTTTTCAAAATGTACTGTCTCAATAATTCGCGGGCTGAGGATGAAAAGGTTCTATGTCCACTTTTTTCAAAAATCGCTTTTTTGCATACATTTGTTTAATTTTCAACTGTGCATCTTTTTATTCAAAAACTGTGTTTCTACATACAATACATAATGAGATACAGAAAACTAAAAGGTATATTATGTCATGAAAAATTACTGAATCGTGATTAAAGTTGTCGTTCGATAGACCTATTTATTCTGATAAGTTTAAGTAACGACGAAAGTATGAAAACGTTCTATCGTCATGTTATTCAATGTTGGTTTGTATTAAAAGGTTTTATCAATAATACAATGTTTTTATCGTACCTATATCGATGTGTCGTATCGATGATACGATAAAAACACTAATGACAATAAAATCATACAATATTTTTGTAAAAGTAGGTATAAACATTTTTTTAGCCTATAAATAGATCAAAAAAAGTTTAAATATTTTGAAAGTTGTATGGTTTATGGAAAATGATAATATAAACATCAAAATTAAAAGTAACTATCCATAAGTTACACAACTGATTTTGTTAAAAATGGATTTGTGTGAAAACCTCCGTTTTTCCTTAATTTTTTTTTTTTGTTTTTGGAATTCTTTTTTAAACTATACTGTGAATTTTCAATTTTGACCTCTCAAATGTACAAACTACTTTCATTTTCCCATCTACAAATAATGTTGAAATTAAAAATTGGAGCATTACTTCTAACAGAAAAAAATATTTACAGACAGGAAGAAAACACAATATCATTGTAAAATCAATACAATCATCGCTTGGCTCAAAATCTAAAAAAAAGAAGGAAAGTAGGAACCGTTTTGTTGTAAGGTGAAACTTACTTTAGGTGTCATGTAGGTCAATGGATGTGTTAAAACTGAATTCAATGATATTATACCATTATACAGAAAAAACGATTCCGAGCAAAAACAGTTCGTCAGCCTACATTATTAAATATATTTATATTGCTATTAAAGTAATTTATTTTTCTAAAAGTGATACTTGCTATTTGGAAATAGCATTGCTTGTATAAAATATAATAATATAATAAAACGTTAAATGTTTTAAGAACTGTAGTTCTCTAGTTATAAAATGGTGCACAAATAATATTTTTAAATTACACAAAAATAAATTAAATGTATTGGAAATTAGGAAATAATAAAATAATCATTTAGTCATAATTATTAATTTCATCAAAGGTTATTCTTTTTTGAATATAAACAAATATCAAAAATGTATCCTCAATCATAAATGTGTCTTTTCACAAAATGTAATTTGCTATATGTAAGCAAAACATATGAGGAATTTCCATATTAAATTTTCAAATTTAAGATATAAAAAAACATCTATTTATGAATTTCTAACTACCTACAAAATAATTAAAATTTTAATGGATTTCGTCAAAATTCTAACTTTAAACATGTATGTAAAAAAAGTGACTAATATAAAATCATCGAAATTTTTCAGTAAGTATATAAAAAAAACCTTTGAGGAAATTATCAAATTTTTAGGCCAAACGAACATTTTTTTATCGACATTTAACGAAGAATACACAAAAGAAAATATGTAAATTGTTCAAATAGCTCAAAAAGCGTCAACAATTTTATCATATACAAGAAGTGTTAATACATTAGGTAGATAAACATTTGGTGAAAATCTCAAGTGACTACATATGGCTATTCGTTTTTAAGAAAAAATTATTTCGATTATGTTAAAAAAAACTGGTTTTGTGTAAACAATTTTACGCAACCTCAAAGTTGAAAATCTAAATATTTTTTCTACTACTGTTCGTAGGTATAATACAGACACAAAAAAATAAAATAAAATAAAAACACGTCATTGTAAAATTAATATATTCATTGTTCCGGAGTCCGCTCAGAATCTAAAATGGAAGAAAATATAAACAAATATGACTTATGAGTAAAGTTATTAGTTCTCATAGTGAATATTATTAATATCATTACTCAGTACGATTGAAATCGTCATATATTAATTTTATGGATTATATTAAAACTCTATTTGATAATAAAGATCAATAAATCAATAATTGATGTTTGTTAAATAATATTTTTTTATCGCTATACACTATTTCACAATTAATATTTTCTATTTATATAACGCTCAGCATGAAACGAAAACCGTTTATTTGTTATTTTAAATATATTTTGTAGTAGGTAGCTAGAATAACATTGATTTAATACAAACAGAGAGAACTTTTAAAATGGTCATTGTTTAAAGTTTTTACCTGAGAGTCATTATATATTTTATGAATATGTATTATATGTATACGAACTGTTTTGACAAAAAAAAAGTAGGTAATAAAAGATTTTGTTTAACAATGTTCATCCTAATAAACAATACCCATGATAAAGTGTTTGTTTTACGGGTGTGTTCCAAATGAAATAACAAAAGTAAATACTGTAAGTTAAAAATGTAATAAAAAATTATAATGAATTGGGTTGTGAAAGAGAAAAAAAGATTATGTACATATATACCTATTATAAAGTATAAACCATTGTATATTTTAATCTGTTTTATATTGCAAAGAGATTTATTGGCCAAATTCAAAGTTTTTAAACTATAGGTATACAATATTTAGTGATGTATAATATGAATGCTTCTTACCATACCATATTGGATGTTTTTAGTATATTTTTGTTCTCAACAAAATACAGGTAACTATAAATAATTAAACTACCTATAAAATATTGTATAACATTTACATACATTTAATATAATTTTATTTTATATTTTTCTAATAATAAATTACTTCTTCTTTTTCCCAGCTCTTACAGTCCATGTAGGATCTTCACTGCGTCAACCACTGCTCTCTGATATAATGAATTCCAAATTAATTATATCACAATATCCATTAGGTACCTATAACGCGTTATACACCAACAACAAACCCTGATACTATCATAGATATATAGTAGTATACTTTAGAAGTTTCAAGTAGGTACCCACAAAAATATTATACAATCACAACAAAATAACTAAAATAGTTATTCTAGGTTTTTTATTATGTAATTTCGTCCAAATTTGAATTTAAAATGTCTGTAAAAAATATCTGTGTTCATATATTTTTTAGATTTTTTGGTTACAGTATGAACTATTTATGAGAACATTTGTTTTAAATTTGCAATCCTTAGCTATGAAAACTGAACATTTTATAATTTATTAATTACAATGATTGATAACTTTCGAGATTTTGATAAATGTTGTCAAAATTTGATCTTTAAATGCTTATAAAAAAAAATTGTGCCTATGTATTTTTAAAATTTTTCAGTTGCTATTGTAACAATCTATCAGGAGCCTAGTATTAAATTTTTACACTTTTTGGCCCAACAGATAAAACTTTATTGATATTTATAGAAAAAAAAACTAAAAAAATTGAAAACTGAAAATGTCTGTAAACAGCTCAAAAAAAGTCAAAATATTTTCAAAATTGTACAGTGTATAGAAAATGCTAATATGAACATTCAGTGAAATTTTCATGTATCTACAGTTA